GATTATGAGGTGAGGAGAGCTGGTTAGCCTGAAAAGCTTTGAATTAGCTGTTTATAAGCTGGATATCTTTGGGCAATTCTGACCCCTTTTAAATGGTTACAGTTAGCCCTACCCGCCCACTGAAAGGAGTTTTTGTGAGCGTCAGATGAGAGATAATACCTGTGGATCATCACAAAAATCTCAAATAAATAAGGCCCACTACCAGTTTGAAGAGATAAGCTGTTAGAAGGGAAGATGTGCTGGACGAGAGTACCTTCTGAATTTGAAAGTGGGTTAGCCAAGACAGTATTCATGCACCTTCCACAAGAGCTTGGGGACTGCCATTTATTTTTGGGTCATTTCTGTGGACTGCAATTGCAAGGGCAAAATTAGGAGTCGCTGTATTATTGGTCAGTGCTTTTCATATTCTGACATCCCATAAGTAGGGATAGGAGGTTAATTAACTACATCTCTTGGGCAACAGAAATGATCAAGGCTGCCCCTGGAACACAGTTGTTACAAAAAGTAGGCTTTTGTTTCAGGGAAAATCTCCCACAGAGAAACATGGAACGCCAAAGAGAACTATAAATAGGACTATCATTTATGTCAATTATAAATAGATTCGTTCTCTTTTGATTAGACGACTAATGCTAGCTAAAAGTCTGTAGTTGAACAAAAATGAGGAAAACTCCTAACAAAATATTATTACATGGTAATACTTTTGATTTGATACTTTTTCCTCCCTAAAGTATTGTCTCTGATTTTCCCTAATGAGCACCTTCTCATTGGAGTTTTGAATTCAGTTTAGTTGTTTTTGAAGTAAGTTTGTTCATACTTCATCAGCTCTTAAGGATCTCTCCTTATTTTCTAGATCACACACATGCACACAAACACACACACATCTCTCTATAAATGGAAAAAACGTATAGATTAAAAGCCCATATTGGGAATTCAAAGGAGGTCAAAACTTTCTCCCAAGACGCCTGTGTGACCTAGTGCAGACATTCTCTTCTTCATGTAGGAGATCCTTTAGCAAGTTACCACAGACGTGTAAATCTCTGGTAAACACACATCAGCAGTGAACAAAGTGACCACAGGGATAAAGGAAACCATTAGTAAGGGAAGGGCCACATCCCATAGACTGTTGCTACTGAGCGCTGGTCCGATATGGAGCCCTTTTTCTCTCATTGTAGAGGGAGAAATATCTGGAGAGATTCTAGCTCTTTGGGTCTGGTTAGCCAACTCCTTGTCCTCTGCTCGCATTCATGACTCATCTCTTCCCAGAGCCAGGAAGGGAAATGGCAGCTTCCCATCAAGCTGTCTGCTAGGTTCATCCTGGGACGAGGGGTTGTGGATGGAGCAGCAGGGTGCCTCAGTCCTTAACCAGGCACACTGGAATGCAATGGAGAGTGTGCCTCCTCCCTGCTAGCCTGAGAGGATGGGAAATCTTGCTCCAGTCTATCCAAGTTGCCTCATGGAAGCTTCCAATTCTGGATCTCCCAGGCCCACCAGTATGAAGAAAGGAACTTTAGGTAGAGGTGGCTGGAAGCGGAAAGCAGATACAATGCAAAGGGGCTCCTCTGGAAAACTCCTCCCTGGTTGCAATGGTTTCAGTGGGGGATATTTTTAAAGAAATTTAACTTGTCAACTGGAAATTCACTGCCTGACCTGAGATTCAGGGGAGATTTGTGGAAAAACACTAATCAGGGATTTGGAAAGCCTAGATCCCAGCACATAAAGAAATATATTGAATATTTTTAAAGATATAAAATTCTTAGAACTGCTGGACAGGTTTCTGTGTGTGACCTCTCTCTTCCAAGCAGCATTGCTCAACAGCCCAACTCCCATCAGAAAGCTGACATCATGCTGTTGTGCAACTCACAGCCATAGCAGTGTCACTTTGCTAACTGCACTTGCTGTGCGTTTGACTACTGAGAAGCCAGTGGCTTTAAGTTTTGAGTCAGAAGTTCTAAGCAAGACATTCCCTTGAAACCTGAGCTCTCCGTTCTTCTAAAAAGTCAAAATATATTTGGATCTTGCAAATTGAGAATGTCAGAGCCAATATTTTCCCCTTTAATCAAATCCCAGGAATGGCACGGTGGGTGGCTGGGGGCCATATGCTCCCTTCTCCCCTTCCCTTCCCCCACACTCCCAGCCAAGATTCTCCAGGCTTGAGACAGCACAAGTGGAAAAGTAGCTCCCACCCTGTGTGTTCAGCCCTGAATCTCTATGTTGAGCACTGAATTAATGGTGGACTCAGACACAGTGGAGGGTGTGGGCATGAGCTTAAGAAGCCAATTTGTTCCCAGATTACAGCAAATAGGAGAGGCTTCTTCTTCCCACTTGTCTCTGCATTCCCAAAGATGTGGGTTTCTATCCAATAACCGGACTCTATCCAATATTAGCCTCTGACGGTTGACTCTTGATGGGGAATATTCCATTCACGTTGGATCACTCCTCTGGCTCCACTTAAGAACAATTTTCAAAATTGAGGAAATGAAGTCCTTTTCCATCTTAAATAGGCTGGCCTAGAATGTTCCTGGGAGCTTTATGAAGAGCATTGGGTCCTGGATTGTTCACAAAGGTGGCAATGGCCTTTAGTCTTGGTTCAATCAAACATTGGCACATGCAGGTGGCCATCTGATGTTAGTGTTTATCTTGTTCTTTCTGTGCTGCAGTCATCTTTCAGGGAAATCTAGGAATAGCAGAAAGATGACTTTTCCCTTGCCCCGGCTGCATGTACTCCCCTTGTGGGAGAAGGAAGGGAAAATTCTGTATTCACCAGGCTTCATGATTCACTCTTGAGGCTCAGTAATAACTTTGGTTCATGCTAAGTTTCAGAAGGCGAGCTTTCGAAAAGTTGCCACCATGCCTGTGAAGTGCCATGAGCCAATGAGCATACTCACATCACAACTAGTGTTTAAGCTAGGCCTTAACAGGTAGGATTTTGGTAGATGGAGAAATTCTGGGCAGAGAAACTGCCCCAGGGAAAAAACACATAGACAGCAAAGAGTTTGCAGGGGTACAAGACATTCCGTTAGGTGCTTGGGGATTATGCTAGTAGAGAGTAGTGCTAGATAAGCTCAAAAAGATAGGTTGAACAATATTTAAAATTCAAGAATAATAATAGCACTGTCAGAGCTCTTATATGTATGATACTGTTCTAAGCCTTCATGTGTATTTTTTTTGAAGATTGATTTATTTATGCAAACAGCAGAGAGAGAGAGAGATACTCCATCTGCTAGTTTACTCTTTAAATGACCACAACAGCCAAGACAGGGCCAGACCAAAGTCAGGAGCCAGGAATTCTATCCATGTCTCCCACAAGGGTGACAGGGGCCCAAGCACTTAGGCCTTCCTCCACTGTCTTCCTGGGCACCCTTACATGCATTAACTCATTTAATCATCAAACCTCTCTGTAGATAAGGGAGTCTCATTATCAGTACTTCATAGGTAAGGCCACTGAAACAGAGAAGCACACAATGTACCTGAAGACAATTGGTTTTAAGTAAAACAAAACCAGAGTTTTAACTCCGGTATCTGACCTAAGCACTTAGGGTACCTGGTAACTTTTACAACATACTGTTCATAATGCATCTTTATTTTTTATTTTGTGCTTTTTCTTCTACCTCCTCTTCCCTAGAAGTGTAAATATGGGGTAACTGTTAAGCCAAGCTCATCTGTTCCTTCTTTGGGGAGACCTCTTACTTCAACAGTGAGAATTGATCTTTTCCTCCTCCAGGCCCCTCTTTATTTGTACTTACAGTAACTTTCCCAACCATAGTTATAGTAAAATGTGTGTTTGTTTGTGGACTTCTTCAGGCCAGAATTGATGCCATAATTCTTCTGTACATTCTCAGAAACTGAGACATTGCTTTGCATGTACAAAGTGCTCAATTATCATTGACTGAATTGATTTAAATACCAGAGGCCACAAGATGAGACATGAAGAAATATCCCTGATCCAACCATACGTCTTTGAGATCATCTTTCCAAAATCAAATCTAAACAAAACCAAACAGAAAACTAAGAAATGCTGAGCCCCACAGGGAACTCTCCCCCCTCCTAAAAACCTAAAACCCATAACAAACAGTTTGGAAAGGCACAACGTAGACAATCTTGGGCCACAGACCAAGCACACTATTCCAGGCTTAGCCTTGGCTGGCTGCAGAAGCTGCAACAGTTCTTCTAAATGCAAAAACGGGGCCACACGTGGGTGAGGTAGCTCACCGTGGGCTGTGAAGTTCCAAGATTTCTGAGAAGGCTCCCTTCATCCTAATCAAATTCTCAGCTTCTCAACCCTCAAACTCAAACTTCCTGAGGGAGATTCAAAAACATCCAATCTAATTAAAGCCTTTTTTTTTTTTTCACATTGAAGTCACAGGTTTTCACAGGGTGCAACGTGTTGCTAACCCAGCAGTTTCCAGACTACACTGCTCAGCAAGGCAGGTGCTGTTTTCCTTTTAGGGCCCATGTCCTTAAATTACTTTGCTGCATAGATGTCTCTGTGGACCAAATTCACCTGGAAGATTCCAGCCCAAGCTCTCCCCTTTCACTCTGTTCTTTTCTGGCCCAGATTTCTTTCTCCCATAGGTGAGGTTAGCTAATAGGAAGATAATGTTATCTTTTTTAAAGTGTATGTTTAATGTTTGCCTTTACTTAACTTGAAACTCAAAGAGTTAATGACAGTGGTAAGAACAGTATTAGACCTTCTGGAAGGATGTCAAATAAACGTGTGCTGTGGCCTACAATTGTCTAATAGACGAAACCAACTTAATATAGTTTCAGCATTACAGATCTGGAAAGTTTAGTGCTAAACTGTGGTTGGTACATACACAGATATTTACTGAGAATCTATTCCATGACAGGATTTCTTGTATGAGAATATGATATCGAAGCAAACTGGCGGGGTTCCTGCATTAGCCACTGAGAGTTTAGCCACAAAGGCACAGACGGCTGGTGCTGGGGGAGAATAAGGAATAGAACAACTGTTGTGTACTGTAATCATCTGAGAACTCCATAGTATATTTGCCAGGCTTTCCCTCCCACCTGTTAGAATGCACTTCCCATCAATCTCCCTGTTTCTCTTCTACAGTATTCATTGTTGCACACTCACTGTTAGAGTCACTGGTTTTAGATTCCTGGTAGCAAAGAAACTTTTCTGTTAGGTTCTGGTTGGGCTTGATCATTCCTCTTTTTATCCCAGCTAGCCAAGACAAATAACAGATTTTGTGATTTTGTGGCCTCCAACTGTTTTCTTACACACTGAGACATTGCAGGTACACTGCATTCTCTTGTCTTGGGAAGGCTCACAATTCCAGAAGTGTTCAGAAAAGGAAACCATAACATGTCATTGGGCTTAGATCTTGGCACCTCGATCTCAGGTTTGTGAAAGCACTGACTTCCTGGAAGTTCATTACTTGTCCTGTTTAAACAGAGTAGAGAACAATAAGAAACATTCAGTAGTTCTCATATTATTTGTTAGAGAAATACTGAACTGCTCTGTAGAAGGGAAATTAATAGTCTCTGATCTTTGAAAATAAAGTGCATAAAGATGTTACAGGTTTCGATACAATTTCATTGATGAGCCCAATCCCTTTGCAAGGACCAATTGGTCTACTCATAAAAGGTCGTGGAATAGACAAGCCAAACTAGGCGTAGGGAACCATTGGCCAATTCTATATACGACAGTTGTGACTCACTTGATGGAGAATTAGAGCATGAGTTTTGATATCTGCTCACTTTATCACCAGTAGCCTTTATGATTTTCCAAAATCCTTCTTGCTATCCTTTAACGTCATTATACTAACCTGCTAAAGCAAGACTCTCAGAAGCCCCTTTCAAGGCTGAACCTCCACGACTCTGTACCCTAGATCCCAAATCCTGACTCCAATTAACAGAGATTTAGGAGCAACTTTCAAAAACCCTTCTTCTAAAACTTCACACAAAGCATTATTGGAGTCCTATTAGAGCTGAAAAGAAAAAATCAAAACTGGATGCATAGCAGCAGGCGTTTCGTGTGGCAGCTGAGATGGTTTCATCCTATATGTAATTCCTGGGTTTGTGTTACATCTCTGCTTCCAATTCCAGCTTCCTGCTCATAATGAACCCTGGGAGGAATTAGGTGATGGCCCAAGAGTTTGGATTCCTGCTACTCATGTGGGAAAGCCAGATTGAGTTCCAGATCCCCAGCTTCTGCCTGGTCCAGCCCTGGCTGTTGCAGGCATTTGGGGCAGTGAACCAGTAGATGGTAGACCTCTCTGTCTCTGTTTTTCACTTTCTATCTCTCTACCTTTCAAATGAATTAACTAATAACTAGATGCATAGACATAAGGATATTGTATTGGCAAGCAGCATATAGATATTAAGAAAATGAAGTTGAAATAGCAAAGAAGCTATTTGAGCATAGCAATGAGATTGAAGACATAAAAGACAAAATAAGTCACTTATTTGTAATTGCTAGTCATTACTCTTTGTCACAGCCACAGTTTCCAAATTAGGTGGTACACCACCCTAGCTTTCAGATAGATATTGAACAGGACATTGTGAAGTTCAGAGCAGCATTTGATCAGGTCTAAGTTAGCTGCAGAACCATCAGGAACCCCTCTGTCTTCAAGTGGAACATTGTATGGTAGCCATGTTTCCATTCATGGCAGAAAGCTGCTGAGACCAATCAGAGCAAGAGGGACTTTGCAGCAAAGGTTAGACAGAGCCAAAAGGCAAACACAGCCCCTGTCACATCCAAAATAGTTCATTTAGCTCTTTGTGCTACTCTTTCATTCTTTGTCATGGAATAATTTCTAGGAGAGTTGTGTGAAAGTAAGGAATTTTTTAGGCTTTATCAACAAATGAGTGAACTGGGCAAGGAAAGCATGAAATTTAGCAAGGAAAAAGAGGGACAGGGGAATAATATAAAAGCCCTGGAAAAGAGTGCCTCCTATTTAGAGAATCTACTATGTAAAAATTCACACCTATAAAACAGATATACTCTGGATGAATTTATTCAAAATAAAGTAATTTTCAGTCTTCATCTGGTGACCTTGCATTTGACATGGTTGGGCACTTTCTCCGTGGGAACATGCCCTCTCTCTACACTACTGGATGAGAAGAAAGGGGGGTGGTGTTTGGTGTTCCCTGGAGGTCCCTCTACTTCCCTATACTTGTGCTTCATTTCTGCCAAGTGGATATAATATGAGAGGACTGGAAACCCCAGATATTCCGAAGATAATTGTATCAAGAGAGAAAGAGGAACTGCAGAATTATAGGGTTGGAAAAGACCTTTGAACTAATCAAGTCACTGCTGAGAAGGCAGTCCCTTTTTTGACATTCTGAGAGAGGCCTGTGCTTAAATCCTCTCGAGATGGGGACAACAAACAACTCCCTCCCCTGTTCTGCAAATAGAAAATCACAGCAATGGGACACCATGCCAATCTGTGACTTGTCTGCCTTCCTTATGAATGGAGGCCACCTTTCAATGACTCCTCATCTGAACTTCTTGGTTTGTACCTGCTTAGGAACTTGACCTTATTCTGTTTTGAATTACAATTATTTATGAGTTATTGCATCTCCCTGCTAGATTATAAACTCCTTGAAAGTCACAACTTTGACTTACCCATCCATTTTCACATATTACACAATCCCTAAGGAAGTGTCTTAAACATGGCAGGCAACCAATAATTTTATTTGCTTTTTAATGTGAGTTATTTTAAAGCTGTCTTGCAGTTTAGTTATGTAAGAAGAGTATCTAGATTAGAAATCATTGTCACAACATATTTAAATTTATATAATATTTAATCCATAAAAAGTAGGCCTGATACATTGTAGACAGTAAATAAGTTTATTGAGTGAATTTAAGGTGATTTAATCAAGGAATGACTACTGATAGTGGGTTCTCCCCTTCCCCCTGTGAAGTTGAGGCAGCATTAGTAGAATGCTTTATTTATTTGACCCTGACTGGGCTGTTTCAGCCTAGAATTGCTGATCCACAGGTATCATCACTGGTAATCCAGTGCTGATGTAACCTGTACTTTTGGTCTCTGCAATCACAAATCTGGTGAATTTCCTGGAAGCAAAGAGCTGCTGGACACTTTTAAGTGACAAAAAAAAAAAAAAAGGTAAATTGGGTCTCCTCTTTCCATATGGTCCAGGGCAAGAAGACAGAAGACCCTAGCTCTGCTCTTTTCCTTCCATCTTCACCCCTCACTATCCACAGCAGCACTGAGGCCTGCTCTAGAATTATAGGCACCTCTAGCTTGACTTTTTGTACTCCTTTTTACTCCATTAATGCACCCTGATGATCTATTACCCTCCTCCTCAAAATCTCTGTAAGAGTGTATCCTCATTTAACAAAATAATGTTGTAGTAGAGACATTTAAGGCATCAGTAAACAGGAAGCAATTTATTATTTTGCTCATGCTAGAAGAGGTTACTCTGGGAATAAGTTTCAAGAATACACTGGCTTAAACAATATTGAATATTGCTTTTCTTTCATGTAAGTAATCCCAAGATACATTGTTCAGGGCTGCTGAGCTGTATACCACACAGAACATCTCTGTTCCACAAAATCTACAAGGGTCCAGCTACTTTCTGTTTTGCCATCTTCTCATTGTGGTCCTCATCCAAATGGCCCAAGATGGCTGCTTGAAGACCCAACAGTACACATATGCTCCAGCAAACAGGAAGATCTTTTAAAATCACAGGATACATTTCGGTTGTTCTTTAAGGAAAGATCCCAGATGCTGTCAAGGGACACTTTCACTTATATCCCATTAACTTACAGCCACTAACTTTGGCCATCTATAGCTGCCAGGAGAATGCAGATTAGAGTCTCCAGTACCGGGGGGAAGAAAAAGAATGGCTGTTGAGCAATGACTAGAAATCTCTCCCAGAAGGACAATCTCTGAGCTCTTTAAGTCACGCCACTTAGGTGCTCAAATCAAGACAGTGCAAATTAAAGGTTGATCTAGAGTCAGCCTGATCCAGACATCAAACATGACATCATTACTTAATGAACTAGCTATAGGATCTCTGAACTATTTTCTATGCTATCAAAAATGGAATAATACCTTCCTCTTACATCCCTGTAGAATGAGATAGGGAGTTAGAGCTAGCACAGTGCCTGATATATAATAGATATTCAGTCAATATTTATTATGATGATGATTTCTGCCTGCATGACAGTGTATAAGACTGGCTCTGCTCCAGGCTTTAGAACAACTTGGGCATGCAAACACTAACAAACTTCCTCACGGCTGTATTTCTTGAGCAATTTCACACCCCATCCATTAGGCAGATGCGTTAGAGCAAATGAGTGGCTACTCAAGAGAACATCATTATCCTCAGTTGCCGTTTCCTTTCTGTCTTTGTTGCATGGTGTTAAACAAGACAAAGGCAATTAATAAATTTCTTAGAGCCATAAGAGATAACAATTAGGATTGGCAGACCTCAAAAAAAAAAAAGATTTAAATGCTGGGTTTGGGGGTAGTGCGATGTTTAGAATGGAAAGAGCATCCATTTTGCTTCACCTTGCTTATCAGGTCAAGAAAACTAATGTAAAAAGTTACTGTGGGGAAAGTGACTCCATTGGTATCATCTGCTACTCTATACAAGTAAATGGATAAAAGAGCATACTGGGCTTTGTACATTGTTTCGTGTTAAGTTCCCCTAAGAAGATACTCTAAGATGCACCACACATTGGCTTCTCTCTAGGCAGGAAATTTCTCTCTAGGCAGGAAGTTGAGAAGCAGTATAGTAAAATGATACTCAGAAAGCCCTGAATTTGAATTTTGAAACTCCTTAATGAATCCTGGCCATTTAATAGGCAGACCTGGAAATATAACACTTTTCAAGGCTCAGTATTTCCAACAGTTAAGCTAGAATAATATCAGTGCCCATTGCATAAGATTGTTGTTAGAGCTAAATGAGATAGTGTGTATGGAAGCCAGATGTCCTCAGGTTTGCCAGTCTCCTTGGGTATACTTCTTTCGCATGTCCACATTAAATGACTTGTGATCTCTTTTCATATTTCATTCTCTGCCCACAAGCTCTGAAGAATTGATGCATCTTGCTTCTCCCTTTTTCCCACGTTAGTCCATTCCACTGTCTGCTTCCAACTATTGCCTTTTCATAATTGTCACTCATGACTCCTGAAACTGCCATCCTGTTACCTACCCTCTTCGTTCTAGCTGATCTAAAGAATGGGCAAAAGCTGGAAACAAGAGAGTCATGAGTGCTTGAAATTTTGCAGGAGCAGAAAGAATAGGCATTAAAAGGGTAAGCTGAGGCCAGTGATAGTGGAGAGCTTGATTGCCTGTCTGTATAAAAAGAAGTAGTAGAAAGTTGTCAAAGATGATTTTAAGATTTTGAGTTTGCATAAGCAAGAGAATAATGGTACTGGCATGAGCGGGTCCCGAGGAGGATTTGATTTTGATTTGCTTCACTTTGGTTGAGAGTGACTTTGGCCAATGGCAGAGATGTTGGCTTTGGTTTTAGAGATACTGAATCACAGTGGATTGTTCAGAAGATGAACCATTAAGATACTGATTCAAAGCTCAGAGGCAGCACAGAAGAATAGGCTTGCAGTTTCTTTGTATAGGTGATAGCTAAAGAGTGGCCCTCCCAATACTGAATTTGTAAATTACTTTTAAATGGAAATAAAAGAAAATTGCCATTTTAAATCTCAAAAAAGCTGAACACCATCCAATTACATCACAAATAATCTCCCCTGAAATCTCATTCCTTTAGACCAGCTCTTGAATTTCTATTCATTATTATTTCTGTAACTAAAATTTCAAATCACAGAATCATAATATATTACAGTTGGCATAAACCTTAACATGTTCCTGGCTCAAATACCTAACTTGCATATGGGGAAACTGACCTACTGGAGAGTCTGGGTGACCCATCCTTGCTCACTCAAGCTGAATCCTGCTGCCAAAAATCCTACTACTAGAATTTCCGCTCTCCCTTGCTCATTTTTTCACCTGCAGTCCAACTACTGAAAACATGATTTTAGACATTCTATCTGCCTTAAAAATGTTCCTACTGACCAAAGTACAAACAGAGGTAGTAAGGAAATAGTGTGGAATAAGGTATCAGAAGGCCTGGATCTTAGTTCCACGCAAAAAGAACTGGCTGTGTGGCCTGGAGAGAGGCATTTAATCTCCCAAATTCTCAGTTTCCTCACTTGAGTAGCAAGAGGATAGGTCTGAATTAGTTCTAAAAGGTCTTCCCACTCTAACATTCCATGATTCTTGGAGGAATCAACTGGATTCATGTCTTCCAGTCCCACACAAGATGGAGAAACAGGCCCATCCCACATTTGAGGCCATCAGGACAAATGCTGGCCTCTCTCCGTGGGGGCTGGAGAAGAGAAGCAGCTGAAGCAACACTATCAGTTTCCTTCTCATTCAGAAGAGAACAATCGCGTTCCTCCCGGGGGAAGCCCTTCGGATTTGGACAATGTGGGGTCTGTCTAATGACGGGAACCAAGGATTACTGTAGAATGAGGGTGCTGAGTGGTCGTGATTCTGAACACAGAATCAAAGATGGAAGGAAAGCCAAGAGGTCCGTAGGTCCAGTCCCCTGCCTCTGCAAAGCCTTCCAAGGCAGATGGTTGTCATCCTATGTTTAAAGATCTCCAGGGTAGCAATTGCTCAGCTTCCCACAGCGCCCAGGGTCGACATGCTTCTCCCTTATAATCAAGAAATTCTTCCCAATGTTTAAAGTGGAAATACTTTCAATGCAGCTCAAGTCTGTTTACCCTTGTCTAGTCCTCAGTGGAGATGAGAAAGAATACTCTATGTAACAGGAACCCTTCATATACCTGGCCGTGGTGATTAAGTCACCCCTTAGCCTTTTCATTTTGGGGATAGATTTTAACTTCATTCTCCACCCAGTTAATCATTTTCTTTCTTACTCCTAGCTGGATCCTTTCCAGATTCTCCAAATGAGTCTTAAAATAGGAGGATGAAATCTGAGTTCCCACTCTAATTAAAACCTCAGCCATGCCAAGTTTTACAGAAAATTACTCTAGAGGCTTTCATTTTATAATTTTCTACACACACCCGCTTCATATGACAACTTGTTGTAGTTTCTCACTCAAGGCCTGCAAATATTTTACTATAATACTTGTTTTGTCCATTTTCAACATTTTTTCTGCTTTTAATGACACCCTCTTTCTACATTGTGAAAGGCATTTTTAAATTTGAATCCTACTATCCAACATTTGAAGCTCTTTTCCTGACTCGGAACACTCTGGGAGAGCATTCTATTCTATTATTTGTTATTAAGGAAGGAATATTGATTTATATCCATCCTAGAAGGTGTGAATATCATTCAATCAGCTCTCCCCATTCCCAAAGCAAGGTTTGAACATGAAAAACAACACAGATCACCCCTCTCCATTCATTTATTCCACAAACACCTTCTCTTTGAGCACCCAACAATAAACACTGAGGATTCAGAGATGAGCAAATCAGTTTCTGAATCCACTCATCCATGTGAGCACACATTTATACAAAATGTATTCTTTAAGCACTTACTCTATGCAGAGCTATTGTGGGAAACATGGCTGTAGCAGAGAACAGGGACCATAAGGCTCTTGGCTTCACAGATCTCACATTCCAGTGAGCATGGGGGAACAAGGAGACAAAGCCCAAGTCAACCAGTAAGTAAACAGGGCCATGTCAAATCTTGATAATGTTTTGAAAGAAACAATGGGATGATAGACTTGAAGGAGGTGGCTACCTTAGATAGTGTAGACAGGGGAGACCTCAAGGAGGAGGAGACCCTGAAGACCTTACAGCTTAGCCAAGTTCTGTTATTCTGAACCAATCCCCTTTAGTAAACCAACCTTCCTCATTTTGTCTTCTCCAAGACCCAGAACAAACTTTTGCTGCAGTGTTAATGGTTGATAATGCACTGTTCCTTGGTTAATTATTTCCATTCCTAAAGGACTTGCTCTTTCATGTTGTTTAATCAAGAGAAGTGATAAATGGAAGGAATTTCAGGATGTGTCTTAATTCCTCAGGAAGTTAATCGACATGACTGGAAAACAGGAGTCCAGTGGTTAACTTAATGTGGGGAGAGCAGGTGGACTTCGTACCATAAAATAGAATTCTCTCTAGAACTTATAACCTGGAATGGGCCAATGAACTTGAGGACTCTCCCAAATGAGTATTCCCATCTGTCTCCTAAGCTTTGTGCATACAACCTCTGGAACCACACTCTGATGAATGCCCACCTAAGGAGATATCTTGGATCCTATAGTGTCTTTGGACATTGGAGTTGGCATTTAGAATGCCATTACAAGTCACAAGCAGTTAATGAGGAAGCTAGCCCTGGGTGTCTCTGAAATGTATAACAGAAAGCAGGCTGTAGTGGGAAGCGGGAATCCTGACCTTGCCTCAGCTTCTCTATGAGACAGGCACTAGACTTCACTAGTTTTCTCAGATAATGGAGCTTTTTGAAAACTGTTGTATATCTCAGTTCCCTCTTTCCAGGAAAATCCATTAACACACATAATTATACATCATGCAGAAGGTTCACAGGCCTCCTACCAAAACATATCCATGGATTGGAGGACTTCTAAGAACCTAACCAGTGCTAAAATGTGAATAAGTTTCTGCCCTCAGAATATGTTGACCTCTTGGTCTCTGTTTTTGATTAGCTTATGAACACCCTGAAACCAGACCAAGTATCATACATCCTCTCAAGATTCCTTTCAGCCTTGCTGAAGAGCTCAAGGCACAAGGGATTCTAATACATACAAGGGAACATCAAAAATTTGTGGGACGATGATTAAAAGATAATGTAATGTGAATTTTTCATGAAATTTTAGAGGTCCCTCATATTTCTATGATTGCAACAGGCTCCTCCTCAGAGGGTCCTGCACTGACTGCTGTGAAAGAAACAGCAGGAGAGGATGGGGAGACCCCTCAATGCAGGGTTACCAGCCAACCCTGGGGATACCCAGTTGACTTCTCCATATGCCAATGAGGTCATTTTTCCTCTGTTCCTTCCCAAAAATAGACTAATGAAGAAGGCATATGCTGAAATAACCTAGCAAGGCCACAAAGAGGAAGTGACTAGAAAGAGAATGGTGAACAACTCAGTTTCTTCTTTAAAGGGAAATAGAAACAGGGACCTGGAGGCAGGTTACAATTGTCAAGCCAGCAGTGCCCCTGTCTCTCCTCCTCATGTTCCCAATATGAATTTCCTGCCTGTGGGGCATCATTTGATTTAAAGCTATGAGAGCTTCCCACACATCTCATGGCAAAGGCTTGAAAATTAAATAGACCATCACTTACTGTCTTGCTGCACTTCCGCATGGAAGCAATTGGATTAATTAACCCAGTTTCCCTCAGTGAAAATGATCTGAACACTAGCTTAAGAAATGTTGATGATTACGTATGGCCTGACATATAACAAATTATCATTTCTCTTTTTGAAAAATTGAATGTCCTCTGGTTTGGAGAATAGGCATTCATCAGTGGTGTGTTTCCTTTTCCTCTCTTTTGCCGTGAGTTTTGAATGATCTATGAAAACACACTGTGATGTGGTGCTGAAGGTGTTCCCAAAGCCCAGACCACCTTTATGGCCTCTCTGCTTTACCCTAGATGGTACAAAAGGGTGAAAACATAGAAAAGATAGGCTTGGGCCCTCATGAAGTCTGTCTTCTGAGCTAAGTTCTACAATTGAGCAAATTGGCTTAAATACCCACCTTACAATTTTGAAGGCTTAGCAGCAGATTGAACGTGGTACTTTGAAAAGGCAGCTCTCAATATCAGAGGATATCCCCGGGTCTCAAGCTTTCCATTTGGCTGGGGAATTTGTTAAGGCTCTAATTTCCTTCCCTGAGACCTGGATTGTTGTCTTCAGGTGCTAGCTGGAATTCAGAATGACACAGACTGTGCAAATAAAAAATGCAGGGAAGGGAAAAAGGTCAACATGTGATTTTCATTTCACCAAAATTTCTGATTTGAGGGTTATGATTATTTCTTTGTTTTTCAATAAAACTGGTTCTGCTACCAGACTAACATATGGATGCCTTTATTGGGCAATTATCAAAAGAAATATGAAGTCATCCTGGAGTTCTTAAAGTTTAAGAAGTCATTGCCAGGACTATAGTCCTAGGTAGCTCTTTCCTTCTTGCTAGTGCTCTACTATTTGGTCATATATTTACATATTGCAAGTTGGCATCACAAAGAGATTTAGCACCATCAGAGAATATGGTGGAAATGCAAATTCTTGGGCCCAAACTTAGACCTGTTGAAACAGCAACTCTGAGGGTGGTCCCCATCAATCTCTGTGTTTAAAAAGCCCTCCAGGTGAGAACAATGCTGGCTCAAGTTTAAGAACCATTGATATGTGTCAGTCATTGTGCACCCACCCACTTCATGGTGTGTTAGTCATGTTGGGCATGAGCTGCCTCATGAAACCCCACAGATTCATGAACCTAACACTCGTCCTCCCATAGGTCCTGAGGTCAGGCATGTGAGTGGAGAAGTCTTGCCATTTGAAAACAAGGGCACTTCCAGACACACCAGTCACTTAAACTTTGTTTTCTCATCTATACAATGGGAATAATTTGATATGACTCATAGGGTTGTTGAAATGGCTGGAGGACAGAGTGCACTGTGAACTGCTAGGCATTCCCTGGAGTTAGCCAGGAGCTGGTTGTCCAGACTATTTTGCTAACGTGATGCAGAATGACAGGACACATTATGAACTGCTGGCCCCTGAAGGCAGCAGGGAAAGGAACTATCTTCTTTGTCCTCCTGAATTCTGACAGGTAATGGCCGTTCACTGATTAGTTGTTGAATGAATTTAACATTTGCTAAGTGATTTATTTTAAAGATTTATTTATTTGAAAGAGTGACAGCAAGGGAGGGAGAAAGGGAAGTGTAAAAAGAGGAAAAGGGAAGGAGGGAGGGAGGGAGGGTGGATGGGAAAGAAAGAGAGAGAATGAGAATGAGAATCTTCTATCTACTTGTTCACTCCCCAAATGCCTGCAACAGCCAGGGCTAAGCCAGGCAAAAACCAAGAGCCAGGAACTCCATCCGAGTCTCCCACATGGGTGGTAGGGACCAAGTACTTGGATCATTATCCAATGATTCCCAGGCACATTACCAGGAAGCTGGATCAGAAGTAGAGTAGCCAGCACTCAAGACAGGCATTCTGATATGGGATGTGGACATCTCAAGTGATGGCTTAACCCACTGCACCACAGAGCCCACTGCTGCCAAATGTTTAGTGATTCATTCATCATTAGCACCTTAAGTAGCATCCCACAATCATGTAGCTAGAAATGGTAAGGCCAGTGTCTGAACACATTCAGACTGGCTACAGAGATGGAGCTCTAATAACATTACCACACAACCTCACACTGAATTCATAGTAGTGATGCTAATGAGATGATATAAGGTGACTTTGTGAAGGCTTGCCATGTGCCACAATCTATTCCAAGTTCTCTTTGTGCCTTAGCTCACAGCAACCCCCAGGGTTGAACACCAGAAGAAATGGTGCCATCGACACTAATCTTGATGTTAGGTTTCTTCTTTCCAGTGTTCTTATTTCTTTCTGGGCTGTTTGTGTACCTCACTTGTCATCCACTAGTCAGCGAGTATTTAGGAAGTGCCTATGTGCTCAGGATAGTTCTTCTAGACACAGAAACAGGAAGTTGCGATTTCTGCCCTAAAAATGCTTGTAATCAAGTTGGAGAAATGGGCCAGTCTTCAAAATATGGAAAATAAAGGTTAGTGTGGGTATGTAATTAAGAATAAATTTGTGATAAACAAAATTATCATTTTACATATCCAGAGAGATTAATAGGAGTTGAGTAATCAGATAAGAATTCTCCCAGGGGCCTGAAGGAAACTTCTCTTGCCAGACTTCAACAATTGTTCTAAGCTACTGTCATTGAATTATTGAGCATATAATCCCCACATTACAGTTTCATTTAAGGCTGCCATAGTAACCCAGGTTACAAGGGAATGGTGACCTGTTACCCTATTATACCTGTTTTGTTGACATTTTATCTCCAATACTGAGAACAGTGTCTAGAATTTAGCAGGAACTTAATAGACATTTGTGATCGAATGATGATAAACAGGAGAGGAAGAATGCAGTAAAAAGGAGAGCAGATGCTGTTGGCCAAATTTTGGGCTGGATAAGAAGACAGGTTACCAAGGATTATTATGCCTCGAAAGAAGACTGAGAGACAACAGACTGGGAAGGAGAAAGTCTCTCCAAAGAGAATCTGGGCTCAGAAGGATTATGGGAGCAAAGCTTTTGTATTTAGGATGCAAACTCCAACTCCATACCATGGGGATGTGGTAATACCTTGGCAGCTGCATTCCTTGAGTCTCCCCATCCCCACCCACATACACCCTGGAGAAGAAACTTTATAGGCACTTGGTGATTTGATAGTTGAGAACCAAGGTCTCTTGTCATCAATTTCATTTTCCTTTATTTTTCAAGTACTTAGCAAACCTTTGGATTTCAAGCCCAAGTCTTGGTTATGCCCCATGTTTCCTTCAGAGGAAACTGCACTAGTAATTGAAAACAGAAATGGGTTTGTTTTTCTAATTCCTGGGATACAGGTAAGAGCCTGTTTGTGCTTTACCTTAGCTGTCTCTTTCTAATCCTGGGAGAAAATCTGGATATAATTCTCTGCTTTTTTGATTAAATTCCTTCTGGTCCTTATGCAAAATTGTGTGCTTTCATCAGAATAGGATTGTCTGATAATACTCTTTGAGTCAGTAATTCCATTCCAGAGAATTTATTCTGACAATGATCTATGAGTAGAATGTTATGTGTACAAAAACACTTATTGCTGCATTAGCTAAAATAATGAAACTGGAAGTAGCCCAAAGATCTAGTCATAGGAAATATATAAATAAAATGTCCTTCAGTTTTAAAATTATTATGAAGTCTATGAAGCAAAATGGGAAATGTTTTCAATATAATGCCAAGTGGAAAAATCTAATACTACATTGACTTTGGGCTGTAGCAGTTGTAGCTAAGTCGGAATAATGTGTGCATCTGGATGAGAATAAGAAAGAATTTTAAAAATGAAGATAATGTGACTTGTTGGGCTATCATGATTATGGGCAAAATTTCTCTTTTCAGTGTCTGCTAAAGTTGTTATAACTTCAAACATTTCAAGGGTATTGGGAGCAGGATGGTCTGGATACGTGACAGAACTGAATGCTCCAACTGAAACTGAAAGCATTACAGTGTACCTAGGTGGGGTGTGAGCATCTAATAATATTCATTCATTTTCTAAACCGCACAAGTGCAAAACTTCTTTCTCAAGGGCAAAAGTCACATATAGTATTCCCTCTGGCATTCTCCAGAATAGCTAGGATAAAATTTGGTCTACTGTATGTGCTGAGAACCTGAGGATGATGGGCTGACTTACCTGACCTCACCTATTTCCTTCATAGATGCTAGCATCAGGTGCCCTCAATAATCCCAGGACAGCATCAACCTCAGACTTTCTCATCATCAGAGAATTTTCCTACTTCCAAGGTGTTCATGGAGGTGAACTGGCTAACTAGATTAGGATTTTAGTTAAGTTACTTAACCTTGCTCAGCCTCAGCTTCCTAATATGTAAAATGAATATAATAGTAATGTTGATTCCATGTAGATACTGTAAGAATATAAATGAAATAAAAAGTAACATTTGTTATAGTAGCTTAATAGAAAGTCCTCAGTAAAGGGAAGTTCTTGGTAGTGTGTTATGGCAAAGGATTCTTTTTTTTTTTTTTTTTTTCAAAATGTCAAAGAGAAAGTTGTGTTTAATGGAAAAGTTTGTAACTTATTTTGTTATATTTTTTCAAGTTACATTATAATGCCTTCTCTCTCACTAGCTAATCAATATCCATTAGATTTGAGGGTGTTCTTCTTTGCATGGAGGCATTGTTTGCACCACTGTGTTTAAACCATATTAGGAAGTTTAACTAACTTCCAACCAGGTAACATGGTCTGCATAGTACCTGTGACATTTAGAGAAATGCAAAATTTCTGGCCAGGAGAAGAAGGAGACACTGTTGGTGATCCCACAAATGACTAACACAGATGGGGGAGACGAGAAAGCTGGGAAGCCAAGAGCCACAGCCAAGGACAAGAGAGGAATTTGGTTTGAAAGGAGAGTGTTAAGACATCAACAGCCTGGAAAAAGAAGAACGGGGTGATTTGTGGCCTGTTGAGTACCAGGAAAAAAGATGTGGCAAAAGAAGGCACAGATGTTCTGAAGAACGAAAGGAATTTATGACAGTTCGTAGTCCAAACGCAGGAAATGCCTGCCAAAGGCAAATCTCATTGGACTGGGGGAGTGCTGGTGCAATCAGATATGAGAAGACCACAGCTTCACAAGTGAACTTTGCCAGTGTATCTTCTTGAATGAGAGGCCAAGAGGAAGGAGGAGGAGGAGGAGTTGTTTGAGAAGAAACATAAATTAGCTAGTCTTTAGAGGTAGATTAAAATGTTCCTGAACTAAGATATCCCTTTTTACTACCATCCTTTTCTTGACTTGAACTTACAGTTCAGGAAGAGGGATGTCAGTAGCTCGCTCCACATTCTCGTATCAGGACTCCTAATGCTAAAACAAAAAACAAAAACAAACCTTTACCTGTCTCCTCCCATGCCAATTATACAGAAGTTGCTACAGAACCTTGGGGGTCATATCCTCCTAAAGTTTATGTATGCAGTTTTCATTCAAATAAACATTTAGTTTATATAATGGAGATTAAAATGTAGGCTTCCCTGTTGCAAGAATGTATCAGGAGGGTAGGCTTTGTGGCTCAGCAGGTTAAGCTACCACTTGGGACACCCACATCCCATATCAGAGGACCTGGGATTATGTCCCACCTCTACTTCAACCCAGCTTCCTGATAACGTGCCTGGGAGGCAGAAAATGATGGCTCAAGTACTTGGGTCTCTGCCATCCATATGGGAGACTTGAGTGGAATTTCTGGCTCTTAGCTCCAGCCTAGCCCAGCCATGTCTATTGTGGGCACTTGGAGAGTGAACTGGGAAATGGGGCATCTCCCTACTGCCCCCATTGCTCTACATTTCAAATCAATAAAATGAATAAGTAAACTTTTTTTTTTTTTTAAAGAAAGACTGTATTTAGACCCTGAACGTAGTCCTTTGCTTGCTGCTAGATTTGGGACAGAGCTAATCATGCCTAAGTATTAGCATAATCAGTGCCTCCATGCAGCTTTGCCAAACACAAATCTGAGCCAAAGAGAGCAGACAGAAGACAAGTGTCAGGGGAAATAAAATGGCCCACCAGCAGTTCTCCTGGCCCAGTGTCCCTGCACCAAAGGAGCCTCCCCAGCTGTGTGTCATATTAGGCCTCACGTTGCTTGTTCTCAAAGAGGCCAACTAATTCTGCAACCACAGATAGGTTTTGTGATAAATTGGAAAATGACTTCTGGGGCAAGAGTGTCTAATTCTCAGAAAGGAAATTCACAGAACTGAGTGACTGGCCATTCCTCATGTTGGGTCATGAGTGGAGTCGTGTAGCCATTGACAGTGGGTTTGAATGTGTACAGGAAATAAAAATGGAGCGGTGTGATTTCTCCAGGTAATATCTCAAACTGAAAATATAATTCTTTGGTGAATTTTAGAATCAGATATTTTTCTTGAAGAGTAATTCTATTTGCTAAAAAGCATTAAATGAGATTCAGTGAAGGAAGCATGAGGTTGGTCCCAAATAAAATAAAGGTGAGAACAGAATTCCCCTTGGACTCAAGCCAGGATGTACCCTTCTCTCTCCTTATTCATAGCTCACTTCAATTCAGAAAACTCAGGGTGGCAAGTGTGGTGACTAAAACCTAACAGGCTCAATCATTACTGGACCATTACTAAGAAACTTCTTCAGCTGACCTTGAGTTTACTCTAATGTATAGTTATAGGAAATTATAAAATGCCATAATTTAAGGAAGGCACTTAAAGCTTCTTAGTCGTGTTTAAGCAATTGAATGCTGAGGAAAAGAGAAAAATAGCAGCAAACTTCTACAGAAAGGAAAGAAATAATGGTAGCCGGCGCCGCGGCTCAGTAGGCTAATCCTCCACCTTGCGGCACCAGCACACGGGGTTCTAGTCCCAGTCGGGGCGCCGGATTCTTTCCCGGTTGCCCCTCTTCCAGGCCAACTCTCTGCTGTGGCCAGGGAGTGCAGTGGAGGATGGCCCAAGTGCTTGGTCCCTGCACCCCATGGGAGACCAGGAGAAGTACCTGGCTCCTGCCATTGGATCAGTGCGGTGCACTGGCCACAGTGCGCTGGCTGCAGCGCGCCAGCCGCAGCGGCCATTGGAGGGTGAACCAACGGCAAAAGGAAGACCTTCCTCTCTCTCTCTCTCACTGTCCACTCTGCCTGTCAAACAAAAAATGAATAATGGTCTGATGAGTCTAGATTTTATCTGAAATTCACTGAAATAATATAATCACACTCTAAATGAACCATTCAGCCTCAGTCTGCACACTAGTTTGCTATTTTGATGACAAATACTACCACTTGAGAACCCTTTTATAGTGTTTTTTTTAAGTTTTAGTAACATTAGCATTAACTTTATTTACCAAAAAAGAGGGTAGCACTCAACAAACCATGCTGATAATCTTTATGTTCTGATTTTGTCCTCTGGGTAGATGTTGAGTAGCAATGGACTAGATGATGACCTGTCTGGAAGTTCATTCACATTTCCAGAGATGAGGTAATATGTAGTTGTAGCCAGATATTCCCAGGGAAATTCTTCATCTGTCTACCTGAAAGGAAGGGAATGTCAACAGAGGACTCATGTGGATTGATAGACACCAAGGAAATTAACAAAATAAAACATTAGCCTACATTGAGTGCTAGGAGTTAAGCCTTCTGCTCAACAATATTAACAACTAATGGTAAAGTGTCATGCTCAAGGATTTCTAGAGGGACTCTTCTCAGTAATTCTCATTTCCAAGTACCCATCTCTCTTCCTTTAGAACTCTGGTTTTCAAAATGTAGCTTAATTCTATCAACTGCTTCAACAGCTGCAGCAAATTACTCTCCTAAGTGTTCTTTCTTTTCTTTTCTTTCTCATTCACAAGTGTATGTGCCCTTCCTTGGCTGGCTTCTGCAGTCCTCATGGCCAGCTTTGTCTCTTTCCCTTCCTCACTCAAGCCCACTTCCAATTCAGACATTTTCTCATTTTCCTCCCTCAGGTGCTTTCCTTAAATTCATCCTATAAAATAGGTTTACAACTAAAACCAAGCCTAACAAAAAGAAAAATCCTGGTTCTCTTAGCACAGCTACATTTTGTTACTGTAGCTCCCTTTTACTTAAGAAGAAGCACTCATATGTCCCATAAGTGCATTACTGATTAAAAATCATAACCATCCAGATAACAAGGACATATTTATAGAAGGTATACTTGATATTACCCAGTGCTTTTGTTGTCTGCATACAACAACTGTGGCTCAGAGAGTTTGTGTGACTTGTAAGCTCACACAAAGAATCTATGGCAGGAATACAGTGTTGTTTTCAATTATACCATATTTTCTTTTTTCTGTTCCCTCTCTACATAGTGATATAGAAGTACCCCCACCCCAGGAGGATCTTTTGATGTAAAAAGAACAATGCTGAAACACCAGCCTAAGAAAGACACCACATAGAATGCATGTGGCATTCCAGTACACACTACGCAATAATTTATAACATGCAATACCCAAGCCATAACCCTAGTTCCTTCTCTCCCTGTGTTCAATCTGTCACTGTCTCTGGCTGCTTCATTCTCTGCCATGGTACCAAGGGCTGTTTCTGCTGCTGCTGTGGAGGCTGTCTTCTACCAGTTGGCTTCCTGATACAGGCCTGGATGCCTCTCTTTACTGGGCTTCCACCTCCTGACACTTCTTCAGACAGGCCAGACCGGGCCTCTTCACCTGCAGTCCTGACCATGTCATACCCACCCATGGGAAAATGTCCAGATATACCCAGGCAAAAAACAGAGGCCTGAATGAGAAGACTGAAAGGGAGCAGGGCCCCTGAGAACACAAGGCATGTGCCAAGTTGCAAAGAAAAGAGAAATGATAGACTAGACTTTAGAGAGTGAAATGAAAAATAAAGAGAATGTGTTTTAATACCTCTTTGGCTGCTTCACCTTTCTGTGGCACCAGAAAGAAGGGCGCTTCTCTTTGTTCACGAATGCCTTATGTTTTGCCTTCAAGATCTCTCTTCTCACATTTGAAAGAGTAAACTAACAACCACAATGTAAGTATAGGAGATAATGCCTGTGGTGTGGCTACAATCTTCACATTGGAGCCAGACTCAGCTTACAATTTTCGTCACCGTCTTTCTCAAAAAAAATTCGAGATAACTGTGGTACATACATAGGATTCCTCAACCTTTTTTATTCTTTCTTTTGTTTGTTCTCCTATCATTCAGGTATGGGTCTGAGATGGACTAGTGATTAAGTGGGCCTGGAAGTATGGTATGCTTTGTGTCTGCTTATTCCCAAAGCAGGGTTGGCAAGAGAGGGAGTCCTAGTTAGTCAATCAGGAGAGAGAACTAAATTCTAAATCCTAGCTACCATTAATTCATCATGGCATAAGCTTGTGTCCTTAATTTCATCAGTGAGAAAACAAAATATCAATGACTGTCAATAGCAGGAAAGGAGTATAAAGAACAAAGAAAGGAAAAGAAAGAGGTGAGACATGAAGTGGAGATAAAGGGGGAGAAATCCAAATGCTGGTTGAAAGTAATTGGGAAATAACTTTTGACCATAGTTTTACCCACACCCATCTCATGCCTTGCAGTATTACTTTGCAATAAGGTGAATAGAAGCTAAAACTAAAAAATAAATAAATCAATGATTTTAGCCAGTGGGTTACTTGGGAAAAATCAAAGGTAACAAAGGCTAAAATAAGCCCATTTGACTCTGCCTGTTTTTGACTTGATTAGAAAATCCATTCTCATAAGATGTCTATTCTGGATAAAAACTATTCTGGATAGTCTATGCAACACAAAGTTGGCTATCCTTTTAAGAGAACAGTTAGTCATTCTTCTTAATGGAGAACAGTCCTCTTCTATCTAGAAAGGCCATCTGTTTCAACCAAACTTTGGAAAGGATGCATTTTTAAGAGTAAGGGCAGAACAAGATACCTGCCTAACTAGCCATGTTAAGCAACTCAACTCCATAATACTAAGAGCCAACATTTTTGTTGTATACTGCACACCAGACATTGTGCAAGCACTTTACATACATTCTCATTTAATGGTTATAACAGTCCTAGGAGGGACTCCTATTGCATCCATTTTCTATGAGGATCTAAGTCATAGAAGATTTGTTACCTTGCCAAATCAAAGGTAAACATGAATACATGGCAGATCCCAAACCTGCCCAACTCTAAATCCTGTGCTTTTAACCACTCTGTACATTGCCTGTCAGATGTCACAGGATGACCTTACGCAAATCCTGCAATGTATTCTAAATAATAGAAACTACCTACCTAGAAAATGGTAACTGATGTATATAACAGGCCCCTCTGAAATAATTCAGGCATAAAATGACCTCTTGGCATTTGATTATCTTTCACCTTAGACATTGATAAAACATTCCCTTAGGACAACATTTCTGTCCAGCAAAGCATTTCTCTTGCCAAAGTATAATTTTGTTGGCTGCATCCATCTCCTCCAAGCCCTGAAATCAGACCTAAGCTAGTAAATTGTGCTGTCCTGGCAAGACGCTCGTCCTCCAGGGCATTGTATTAGGCTAAAGTAATACATCATGTTGCTTCCCACTCTGTCGGCCCATTTCTCCAGAGTCCTAAAAGTAATGTTTCTGCTTTGAGTCTCTAGTTGTTCTTGCCCTTAAGCCTTCCTTTCAGCTCCCTGGTCTTGGAAGCCAAGGTGGGCTGAATAGCACCCTTTTCACACCTGTCCTTGAGCTGGGCTTCCAAAAGAAGGGAGGCTCTCAAGAAAGGGGAAGCCCCAGAGAGCTTCACTTCATTCCTTTTAGACCCATAGATAGACAAACACTGACTTTATTGAATAACAGAAAGACGTTGTTGTTTTGGGTTATGGGGAGTTAGTAGCTGAGAAAGAGTTGCTGAGTGAAGAGTCTGGTGGCAGGTCAGGTAGGGCCATGATTCCTAGAAAAGATGACCTCGTCCAATGGAGAGGTAGTGGGACCTGCCAACATTGCCAATTAAAAATTAACACAATCCCAAAGTTGAAATCAATGCCTAAATTTGATAGGTTTTCAAGAAAAGTTTATGACACACAGTTCATAGAAAAGAGAACATTTCTCAGTGTTCACTTTTACAGATGCCAAAGGTTAATCTTACTTGGAAAGATACTTCCACAGGAAAAGCACAAATGTAGGACCCATGAGCAAAGTATAAAACAGGTCATTTATATATGTATGTGCCCGTATGTATATATGTATATATACATATTTTCAAAAACAATTCTAATTTCAAAATGTTTGACATCAGCTTTGATACTGACAATAATAAATCACTTCCTTGCTATGTGTCTGAGTATATATGATTGCATACCTATGTTGTGCTAAAGGTATAATGATAAGACCAATAGGAAAACCTTCTTTCCATACCTTTACCAAGTGCATGATGATACTTATCTCAATAGTTGTTTTAATCCATGTATGATTTCCATCCAATTTTTGAAAGGTAAAATGTTGACTCTCAAAAGGTCTTAAATGAAATACAAATCCTATGAATTCAAGAAATATCACTCTTTCAATGTATTACATTTTGGAACTGGATAACAGTCTTACCACAATTTTCCTTATAGTAAGAACTCATGAAAGGAGTTTGTTTTTCATATAAAGCTATCAAATTGGAAAGCAATTTTTTTTTCCACAAAATAAAATCACAATTAAAATATTAAAATGTGGACAAATTTAAGATTACATCTCACACAATTTTATGCTACCTTCACACACAAAATTATGTCAACTGAATGCATTATTGGATAAGATGGTATACAGAAAAATATTGCCATAAGAAGTTAAACATTTTGAGTTTTGTAAATGTTCAAGGTTTCTGGAGTTCTGAAATAAGGCATTGTGAATTAAGCCTAATTTTCTGACACCTACAGATCTTAACTATGATATCTGTTGTGTAGTCAATCCTTAGGTAATCAAAATTAAATGCAGATAAGTTTCTCAATAGCTAATAATCCTATTGGTCTCTTCTATGAGACTCATAATTAAGAATTTTCTAGAAATAGCCCCCAAAATTCAACTTTATTTATCTTACCTTTTCTTTCCTGGTTTGAAACAGTTGATCCATTTAGGAACCCCTTCCTGTTAACAAATTTCTAGAGAATAGTTTCACTACTCAGAAACCAAAGAGTTACAAGGATATGTCGTCACAACCCAGATGTATCCCTTTTTGGAAAATATTTGCATATTTCATTGTTTAAATGCTAATTCTGCAAATTGATGTCCCTTCTTTCCAATCGTAGAGTTAACTAAAGGAAAATTTTCTCAATAGCAACAGGGGAGGTTTCAAAAGATATTAAATTCAAATAGAGTGTGCCAACTGCATTCCCAGAAATTTATAAGAAAAACAAGCTTATAAAGTACTATACTTTATATAGTACCAGTGGAGGTAGTACCATGTTTACCAGTGATGGATGACTAGAACTCTTTGTTCTAGAAGCAATGGCCCTGGTTAAATCTCAGTTTTGCACATTTCTCTTCAGAGATGGAAGGGAGAGGGTTGTTTGCAACTATGACAAAATGTGAGACTCAGCTAATTGATATGGTTTTGATGATGCCACAATTCTGCCCAAAACCCTTGTAACTAGCAAGTTTGTCCTAAAGATTATTGAATTACTTCACTGACCATGCATTATTTAAAGGGAAGTGCTGTTATTATAGAAGCCAGCTGCTTAACCATTGGAATTTTGTCTGTTGGCCAACTTTCAAGATTCAGCAGGGCATTCTGACTAAACATTATGTCTACTTATAGAAGAATCAAAGTCTGGATTAGGTGGTGGCCAACTTGTCTGGTAAGCAATCTTTAGTCTACATACTATGAAACCTCTGAAGCAAAACTACTGACCAAATATGTATATAAATATATACATTTTCAATGTCAAGTCTTTGTCAGCAAGAAAAATTCTATGGTATGTTTGCATATCTGCTCACGCTAGCAGTTGAGTAAGTGTGTAGACCCTTTATAGTGCCAGTAGAACAGAACTCTGGCACTGTATCTCACTGTAGAAGAGACTCTTCAAATCCTGTGTCTTTTGTTGCAGCACATCTCAAAACATAAATAGAAAACAAATTATCACTTTCTAAGTTAGAAAATATGTAAAGCCTTTTCTTGAAGACAATGCAACTGTAGTAAATATTTAGCTTAGATGAGTGTTTCTTCTCTTTACTTACCATAGAATCTTCAGAACAGAAAGGACCACGGTAATCAACCACTCTATTCAATTCAGGTACCCAGTGCTAGGATCTCAGCGTATCTGCTTTCTGCAACAGAGAATTCACTAGTTTTCAAGGAGATCTGTCCAATTTTTTAACATTTTGAATTCAACTTATCAGAAATGGTTTTCTTATATTAAGCAAATGTGTTTTTAATTTACATATCAAATATGATTCTGCCCACTGAAGTAGAATTACATATTGATTAATCAGCAGTACTTTAAGGCAAGAATGGAGCAATTAATTGCATCTCATTTAAAAACTAGTCAAAATGACTATATTCTAGAGATCACTAAAAATACTTATTTGTGTCAACATTGATCCTGCAGCAAACTGTTTTATTGCCTAATAAAACACAATGTATAAAGTTTCTTATTTTAGCCACTAGCAGTAACTATCTCTATTGTGGTTCTAGAAAAAGAAGTAATATGAGGCATTTGAAGATAAAGGACAAAACTTTGACCCTTAATTGTGGCCTCTTGATTGATGAGAAAGGGTTGTTTGTTAAATATCTTGATGTAGAACCAGAAATCAAACCTATAGAACACTTCAAAGGATGAATTGAACTTTAAAAAGCAATAGGTAAACACTTGTTGTATTCATATATTCCCAATGAAGTACAAGGAGTCCATTGTAGATCTTATGAACAGAGAAAAACATCTTTCTAAGATTTTGGTAGCTAGATAACTGGCAGTTGTATTTATGGCAAAATCTAAGCCTATGTATCACTACTTCACTCTTTTTTAAAAATCTGGACATAAGATAACTTTATGAGACATTACAGAAAAGTCCTACAATTCTTGATTCTAAAATTTATCAATCTATGAACTAAAAGGCACAGCTATTTCATACACTGTGCCATTTTGAACTCAAAAGTCATCTAATAGAGGTGACAATCCAGATGTCTGGTGTGTGCTATCATATTTCACTGTGTTAATGATTACTCTTTATTTCACAAGAGGAAATAGACCTGTGGTGAGTTTCATGGCTGTCAGTGGTCACCAAGGGAGGAATATGTAATACATAAAAAGTCCTCTTCATCCTAAGATGAAGGCTGATGCCTTCCTTCTGTAGCAGGAGGGAAGCTTGAGCACCTATGGGAACTCAGAAGCAGGATTATGTGTGAGTTACTTGCAATGGAAATGCTAAATAGGTCCCAGAATCCCATAACCCATCCCTCTCTATTTTCAACCCATGAGCATGAATTTTGAAATCTGTTGTTTCTGAGTTAGCCAAGCTTGACAATTTCTGGCACCATTCCTACCACCCCACCCCCAAACATCAAATTACTCTTCCATCCTCAAAAAATAAATCCCAATTATGTCTCATTAAGAAATTTGTAATTTCAACAAGCAACAGTCATAACCTGTTGTGGACTACAAGGAAAATTACTGCAAAGAAGTTCAAGCCCCCTTTTCTTTCCTCCCTACCCCCAAGAGAAAATCCAATGTCTATCATCTTTCCTTGGCTGGCTTAGTCACTTAGCAAAAAGCATGTAGAAGTCCTTTGTGGATTATGAAGAACCAAAGAACCATCACAGCCCATTTGTGTCTTTGTTCTAATTTATAATCCCAGGAAAAGATTATCAAAACAAAAAAACAGAAAACATTGTTTACATTGCTCAGGGGACCAGCTGAGTCTTCGCTTGCCAGGGCGCGGCTGGCGAGCAGAAGCAGAGTTGACTTCTGTGCTAAGTTGATCCTCCAATGGCAAGTGAAAGTACTGCTGAGGCTCCACCTTTGGCCAGCTGCTCAGCCCCTCTGAAATCCCACAATCATGAGGAGCCCACAGCATTTTGGAGTAAGGGTAGAGAAGGAAATCTACCACAGATATCACAAATGAAGCCTAAGTTGCTACCTCCAGCTGCCCTAGGAATGACAAGAAACCTGCCTTACAGGAGGAAGTAGCCACCAGGCTCTTGCGCCAAGCATCAGGAAAGAATTAGCTTCTTAGGAGATGCCATGAACTGCTGGCCCTCTGAGCAGGGAGGCAGCCAAACTTGGTAGGAGGCCATAACCATGATTTTGATCTCTCCCAATGAGAGAGTTCAAAATATATATGAGAATTTTGACTTTCAAAACCCTATCCTTAAGTATGGTGTCATTACTATATACATATAAAATATATGCTTAAAATATAATGCTTCCTCTGTCAGGAATATATGTCAGATTCATTAAGTGGATTCTTCTGGATCACTCATGGACAATTTTTTTTTCCACAAAGCCTGGACATCAGTGGAGAAAATCCAGGCCTCCTATCTCTCAAAGGAGGCAAGGGTTATGAGAAAAGACCTAGATCCAGTACCTCTAGCCTTGTCTGAGCCAGAGAAACTTCATTTTTGTCTGTTTCATATTCTAGTGCATATGTGAGATTTGGTTTAACAAAAGTCTTCTTTGAAAAAAGGCTTCCAAGTAATTTAGGAGCATTTTAAGTTCCATGTAAGCTTGTTTTGCCCTCTCATTTAATTCCAAAGCCAGGAAAAGTGTGCCCAAAACAAAATTAAACCAAATCAAAATCTACTTGCCAAGTAAAGAGGCCTAATTGATTTGCAAATATCAAAAGAAATTTGACTCAGATGTTTGCTCTGAGCAATCAGAATCACGTGAAAGAAGGGCATTGATTTCAGTCTGCCTCAGTCTAAGTTGTTAATTTATAGGAAAACTGTTCAGATATCTCTGGAGTGATAGGAAAGGAAGTCCTCTCCCATTCTAAGTTTATGGATGTAACCATAGTAATGTTGCCTGTTCACAGACCACCTAAGATCTTAAAAAGGGATATTTAGAAAAATGAACCAATATTTATTTAAAACTTATTATGCACGGGGTGTTGTGTTAACCACTATTCATGGATTATGTCATCACTCTTACAAGGAAGATATTATCACTATTATAGAAATGGGCAGAAAATGAGACTTAAAGTATTGAAGTGCTTATTCAGGCTCCCACAACAGGTTTGACTCCTGACTCCATCAATAACTGCATGAATGGCCTTGCATGCTGAGGTTCAGTTTTCACATCAGTAAAACGAAGAGCCATTTCTAGACTGAAAACCTCTTGGATATACAATCTTATTTTACAGTGTAGCAGTTCAGCATAAATGCAGATTTGCTAAACATATTTTCTTTTCATTAATATTCCTAGCAGCCTCTTAATTCAGACAGTACATGAGGAAGACTAGAATTGAGCATGCACGAGATCTTTGCCTATAGGTTTCTGAGAACTTGGGGAAAATTAATACAAAGTACACTGTGAATGAGTTAGCGCTAACAAGGGTGGTACCAACTACAAGAGACACACGGAAGTCCAGTTCTGTGGAGTCAGGAATTGTTGGGGAGGCTTCAAGAGGAGGTTGAGACATTGGAGGTGGTGTAGGGGTGCTAGACAAGGGGAGAGGTGAGGCATCAGGAGCTCGATGGGAGATTCTGAAGACAGCAGATCCCCTAACATCAGGCCACTCTGCATTTGATTTGTACAGACAAGCCCACAGGATACGGCTCCAGCAGTCGGAGGGCACCTCAGACAGGCATCGTGGATGAGTGCTGCTTCCGGAGCTGTGATCTGAGGAGGCTGGAGATGTACTGTGCACCCCTCAAGCCGGCAAAGGCAGCCCGCTCCGTCCGTGCCCAGCGCCACACCGACATGCCCAAGACTCAGAAGGTAAGCCCCCAGGGAAGGATCTAGCCACCCTCAGGTATTCTCCATAGTATAGGTGTGGGTAAGCCAAGCTTAAATTCTGCCATGGTGTCCTGGCTGACAGCAGAAAATAAATAAATAATTAAATAAATTAATTAAAATCTCCATCCCCACCAAAGCCTTGCCTTACATGGCCAGCCCTTTGGTCACTCCACATGGAATCTTAAACTTCCACTTCTCTGGAAGGTCTGATAGGTGGAAGATGGTGGAAAACAGTGACTAAATGTGGGCTTTGTTATAAAAACTGAAATCTTTGATAAAATGGAAATCTTGCCTTCACAACTCACCAGCTGAGAGTCCATTACCAAATATTGTAATGTATCCAAGCCTCAGTTTTATCCATAAAATTGACATAATGATAATATCTACCATATCTGGTTGTCAACATTAAGTTAATGTGTACATTTTAAGATGCTTTTCATATACCTGCATGGTAACTGTTGGACCAGTGTTAACATCTTTCATAATTGTAATTAATAACAAAGCATGTGAACTTTCAAGTTCTTAGATTGTGCAATGGTGCAAATAAAAAGTCTGACAGGAGATTCAAAATTCACAATCTATGGTAAATTTAAAACATATCAAAAATAGAAATTTCCATTTGACTATAAAATGCCTAGAGATTTCTAATGATCAAAATCTGTAGGCATTTTTTTCTAGGAGTTAAGCTGTAAGCAGAGCTTGGAGGTAATATCTATCATATTAGAAGGACATAAAATGTCCAATGCACGTGAGTTTGTTAAATGAGTGAGTAAAGAATGGAATAAAATAATTGCCTAACTCAAGTTTTCCTCATTAAGTAGAAAGAATGAGAACTAAACAGAAGGTGAAGGAAGAAAAAAAGAGAAGTAAAGATGATGAGTAAGAAAAGGAAAAAAAAAACTTATTTAGGTCTCCTTGGGGACTCTGTTAAGAAAAAAAAAAAAAGGAAAAGAAAATTGTCAATGTGTGGTTTCAAGGTTTGGAGCCAAAGCTCATACTGAGCAGAAAGCATAAGATAGGAAACCAAGAAGTTCAGAATGACACCTTTGCTGTTTCCTGGTCCTAAACCACAGCTGAGACTAGAGGAGGACTTCAGTGACGTAGCAGAGATACAACCCCAGGGAACCACCCCAAGTGATGCAAGGGGACTGGGCAGGACCTGGTGCATAGAACATAGCCAGAGAGCTAGGACCCCAGAAGAAACTTCTAGGTAAACACCACTGGAAAGGGTGCTTGAAGGGATGAAGACAGCCTCATTCTGTCTCTTCTCAAGTGGCCCAGTGCCTCTTAATTTATAGTAGGGGTGGAGGTAAATGGGTGTTAGTGATGAGTCCCAAAGTTCTGGAATGTTGGGTCCTATGACTGAGGCCTAGACCCCTTCCAGTGCCATTCCTGTCTCTCATGTCATATGGAGCCTGAGCATTCTGGGATGATTCAAAATCTTTGCCTTCGGGAACACCACAGGAACCACCTTTTCTCAATGCAATTATTTTTGTGATGTTTACAGTATCAGCCTCCATCTACCAACAAGAAAATGAAGTCTCAGAGGAGAAGGAAAGGTGGGCCAAAGAAACACCCAGGAGGGGAAGAGAAAGAGGGGAAAGAAGCAAGTCAGCAGATCAGAGGAAAGAAGAAAGAGCAGAGAAGGGAGACTGGAGCTAGAAACTGAACACAGAGGCAAAAAAGGAAACTGGAGGAGAGAAGGACTAAGCAGACAGAGGCAAGGATGATAAGAGAGGAGTGAGCAGAGAGCAGTAAAGCAAAGCAGGAAATGAAGACAAGTAGGCCTGGTGGAGCTAGATAGTACACTGAAAGAAATGAAAGTAACCTGTTACCCAATGGGACTAACGAATGTGGGGAAAATTAAAAAGAAAAATCTAATACCTAAGAAAATCCAAAGAAAGACAGTAGCAAAAATGAAAAGCAAAAATAAATAAAAACTATAATAGACATACTCTTTCTCCCATCCTTCCCAAGATACAATTAAAGAATTCAGATTAATTTTAATATTTAAATGCACTTTAAAATTTTGTTTGAATCTGTAATGGAAGAATCGTCCATGTCAATATATGTTCAGAGTTAACTATTAGCCCAAAATTCTCAGCAAGACTGAATTGTGTCATAGAATTTCCCAGATTTCCTTTCCTGCAATGTCATTGGGGGCTGCATTTCTGAGTCAAGTCCAAGGTTTAGGCCAGAGGGCATCCAGTATTTGCCGAAAGGCCTGTCACACAACATTTCAGAGAAGGTTACTGAACTCCTCTCCAACCCCAACTCTTTGGAATCAGATATAAAAGATGTATAAGTTTGCTAGGGCTGCCATAACAAAGCACCACAGACAGTGAATTAAACCACAGACATTTATTTGCTCACAACTTCTGGAGGCTGGATGTCCTAAACTCAGGAATCAACCCCTCCAAGGCCAATAGGAAGGATCTGTCCCAAGCCCCCTCCTCTGTTTATAAATGGCCTCCTTCTCCCCCGCCCCCACTCCTCTCCCTTTCCTTCTCTTTCATGCATATCTTTGTATCCAAACATCCTCCTTGTATAAGAATGCTAGTCAGATTGATTCAGGCCCCACCCTAATGACCTCATTATAACTCGATTACCTCCATAAAGACCTTACACTACAGTCATGTTTTGAGTTACTGGGGGTTGGGACTTTAACATATGAGTTTGGGGGAAAGGGACCACAATTCAGCCCATAACAGAAGACTTCTGATGTCTGATAGTACCTTTTTATTGCATCTCCTAGAAATTCCCTCTATCACTCCACCACCCCACATACACAGAGATCTAGATTTTTAGATGTAAAATCCTGAGTCTGAAGTTTTGCTCCATAACAAAACTAGAACCATGATATGTTAGAGCTGGAAGAGATATCATAAAGCATTGCATATAATCCCTTCATTTAAAGACAAAGACACTGAGACCCAGAAATGAGTAAAGACATACTTGGGTTCTTGGCTGCTCTTCTGGCCACCAGACAATAGCACATAATCAAAGTAGGTCAACTAAGAAAGAATTCCAAAATGAAGAGAGGGGGAATAAATGGGCCCTTGAAGCTTCCATTAGTTTAATATTATTACACCAGAAGGAAGGCAGTGAATGATTGAGAGTAAATTACTGGATTTCCATGAGGATAAAAAAAAAAGCTAAATAGAATCACAAAATTCAAGTCTTAGAAACCTTCTCCTCCCATCACCTTTATTTATTTAATCAGTGGGATTAAGGTCCTCATAGATAATAAGGAAGTCTCAAGATCATCCAAATCATGGATTATAATAACTGAGAAAAGATGCAAGATAAAAGTACTCAGCCAATCAAATGCTTGAGATGAGAAGATGGCAAATCCAGAAGTGAAGCACTTCATCCAAGTAGCCTACCTAGAAGACATGGTGTTAAAGAAAAGTCTCTTCTGCCTGGTCATTCATACACCTGCCATTGTTTCCACATCAGGATCACCCTTCCTTCATGATTCACTGAAAACCCAGCATCCTTTGAATATAATGGAGATGGCTGAGGCTCATGAGATCCAGAAGTAAAAGATCAAATCATAATCACATCAGAACCCTCGATGAGAGCCAAACCACTGCTCCTGTGGTTGCAAAGTGGATCCAGGATTATGAGAACAGAAAGACAAAAGCCAGGCTGGTTGCAAAGTGGATCCAGGATTATGAGAACAGAAAGACAAAAGCCAGGCTGAGCCCTTCTGGTCAGCTACCTTTTTCAGGAGAGGCTGAGTTCTCATGAGAAGACATCTATGCTTTGGGGCCAGACACAGGCCAATACCTGCTGTAGCCATCACCATGGAGTAGCCTGTAAACAGATGACTCTTCAAGGAACCACAGTTCAGCACAAGAATTAAGAATTTGTGTCTGGTAAAAGGATTGGGAAAACTGTAATTATACCAAACTCCATTCAAGAGATAAAGCAAAAATGAAGGAAGGAAAGAAAGGAAGGAAGGAAGGTAGGCAGGCAGGCAGACAAGAGAATGTTAAGGAATGCGTAACTTCCATGCTGTGCATTAGAACACACTTCTTTCTGGAAGTTGTTTTGTCAAGTCTAATGCCAATGCGTTGAATACCTATAAGACATTACTGAATAATATGAAATAAGAAAACAGGAAGAATCTATTATTGTCTTTCCATCTCTTCCTTTCTAGTACCAATATTCAAGCCCCTAGAGAATCATGGCATATAATGACAGGTGGGTAGGTAGGTAGATGGATTAAATGAAATGGTATAGGCAGAAGAATAATTGTAGAAAGATATGAACATTTGCATAGCTGAGATTGATTTCTCTCATCTTAATTAGGATAATGAGAATGTTTTCCTGAAGTAAATTGAGTATTAAATCATGTAAAATTTCAATGCTTCAACTTCAACTGTTTCTCTTGGGGAAAATTGATGATTGTACATAAAAGTAATTGGAATAGATACGGAATTATGCTGAAATAACATTCCTGAGAAAATAGTTGTAATTGAGCAACTACAATGTACAGACCTCTGTACCAGGTATGAAGGAGAGTTACGATCATTGGAGAGGCAGAAAAATGTAGTTGATAAGAGCCCTGAAAGCTTTTGCACTGACTGCCTGAGTTCAAATCCTGGATTTCTCACTTACTGTGTGTCTTTGGACAAGTACATGTTACCTGTGCCTCAGTTTCATCATAAAATTGAATTTATAATGATAACATGAGTTAATGTGTATGCATGCTTGTGTGTATGTGGTGCTTATAAGGGTGCCTGGCACAAAGTAAGCACTATTAAAGTTTTACTAAGAATATTTTACCAACTCTTGAAAATTAGAGCCATATGAAAAAGAAATCAGTTTTCTGAGGTTAAAGCAGATGTCATATCACTACAAGCTTAGAGCCTATGCTTGCCAATATTTTTTGTTGCTGTTGTAGTAGAGTTTCAAGTATAGGATAGGAGAAGAAGAGAGCTGGATGACCTAAGACCCCTTTCAATCCAGGAACCCCTGGTTCTGTCAATAATTCCAGAGTGACTGATAGGTTAGCTCTCCCAGGTGAAGCTCTATTAACTTTTACTTCAGGGTCATACAGTGAACTTTGAGAAAACCACCATTTTTCTCAACCAGTTAAAATCAAATGTAATATGTGTTTTCATTTCATGGTGCCTGGGGAAAATTTAATTGTAGCATGAACTCCAGCTCTTCTAGTTTTAAGTGAAATTGCCAAAATAAATAGAAATGTGGAATATTTCCGGGCTCACACAGCTTCCGGGACATTTCAGTTTCTAGGGCTGCTGATCCAGTGCCTTTCAGAAGCATTTGATCTTTCAAATGTCTCTTGAAAACAAATAAAACCTCATATAGCTTCGAATGTGTGTACTGTTAGGATGTAAGGGTGGAAAAGGATACATAAAATGAGCTCCCAAAAGGCACTGATCATCTCTCTCCCCACCAACCCAGAAATAATGTATGCTTAGGTACTAAATTTTGCTGTTTCTTTGGTCATAAAAGTCCAGTATTATGCATGGGGGAAGATGAGGTCTATTCTCGCTACTTGCCTATGTGAAAGGAACAGGGATTTTTTTTTTTTTTTTTGCAATATTTAGGAGATAACATGGAGTTGACTTTTGATCAAAGGGCAAAGTTGATAGTCTGAAGTCAAAGTGGAAGCCTTTGGTGGCAATGAAAAGATTAGTAGTTTCAAATGAAGCGGAATATCTTTTTATGAAGTTCAGAATATCACCCTAGAATTCCTCAACTGAAATATAGGGTCCTCAAAACTTTTATAGAAAATGCAAATTGTGAAAAAAAAAACTGTGTTTGGATTTCAAAAATTATTGGCAACAAAATAAATTGATCTTTGCATTCTGTCTTTACATAAACTTTCTGCCACGTTCATATGTCTGCTTTGATGCTTAAAATCCAGTTAGTAATTCCATTGACCTAATCAAGTCTAGTTTGGAAATTTTAAAAGATCTTTTATTTAATACTTTCTTTTTTCTCATGTTAATGTGCTATTAATACAGAGAACAGATTCAATATTAGTTATCAATTGTTGATACATATACTTCTATGAACATAATCATGTTCCTTTACTCCCTGATTTATTTATTTATTTACTTGAAAGAGAGAGAGAAGGAAAAGCACTCCCATCTACTGGTTCACTTACCAAATGGGCTGGGCCAGGCAGGAGCCAGGAGCCAGGAGCCAGGAATCCCATATTGGGATTATTCAGGAGAAACCAAAGGATTCCTTTGTCTTCTCAAAGGCCCAAGTTCCAGGCCTGAATTAAATGTTACTGGGGAAATAAAGCAAACATTTTCAGAGGGGCAAGAAGAACTTAGTTTTCCTTCCATTGTGCCTTCTCAGGATCCAGGGCTTACTCACTTCCCATCTGATTTACAGAGAGGAACTCTCTGGATCCTTCTCATCTACAGATCCCAGTAACTTTCCCATAGGACCAATTAGCAACTCTAGAAATTTCCAGGTCTAACTCATGACCCATTACAACCAAGGGTCAGTGCATCCATCCCATCTTCCTTCCATCATTCCTGTCCCTACTTCGATTAGAGATTGGGATTATTGACAAAAGCAAATCACTTGCCTCCTCCACCACTATCCCCTTTCTTAACCTCTATCTTTCTGTATTTGCTTTGGCATGTGGCTTCATTCCCATTGGGTCACATAAAGTAACATATTTATTTGAGCAGGCACACGTTATTATCACTCTGGTGGGGGGCGGGGGGAGATGGCACTGACAATGTCTCCCTTGGTTCCTTTAACCAGCATGGTCAAAATTTCCATAAGAAGATGGGATGTTAAGGGCAAGATGTAGGAAAGGCTGGGCATGACAGCAATTCTTATCTCTAGTAAAATAGCCCCAAAGTTCCCAGCGAGAAACCCAGATATTTTACATCAAACCCAAACTGGTCAAGTAACCCAAGAGTCCACGATGGGATTCATATGCCAAAAGCTTGAATAGAATTCTGTGTAAAATCTACAAAGGCTCTCATGGAGCTTTCTGTCAAGCCAACACCAAGAGGTCAAGTAATTAAGGACCAACCAGTCCTGCCATCTGTGAAAATGTGATGTGCTATTTTCACAGTTGTAGATAACAATTATGGCAAGACAAAAATCTGACATAATTAGGAGTCAGACTGTGGCAGGTTGAGCACTGGGTAAGGATTCCTAGTCAGTTGACAATTGTTCATTGGATACGTACAACCTTTATTTCACGCCACAAGTTTGTGGCATGTCTGAACAGTGCATGAGGCATTGCAGGAATAGAAGAAATTTATTAAATCAATAAATGCATAGCATCATTATTGTTACTTTGTCAGTATTGGTTGACCAAGGTCACTATTGAGCGCTGTGCAGCATCTGTATAAATAATGTTTGTTTCCTTCTTCAAAAGAATGCTAGGATGGAGGTAGAGGTGCTTTTGGCACAATATAACAGTTCTGATTTTTAAAACTGTATGCACACATGAACTTGCTCCACTTTCTGTCTTGGAAAAGCACTGGCTGGCACCTTGCATGTTTACTTTTATATGCTGAGGCTCCCATCAACCTCAAACAGATGCAAATCACTTCAACTTGTCATAGTGTTATTTTGTTCATCCTAAAAGTTCAAGTAAGCCTTCCAAACTTCCAAAATGTCTCTCAATTCAGTGAGGAGAAAAATTTCGAACACAGAGTTTGAATGTTCTGCCCAGATTTGTCACACACACAAAGAATGAATAGAAGAGAGCAACACCCTTTCCTACTAACCCTGTGAACTCATCACTATTGCACTGAAATAACACCAGAAACCTTGGGCCTCCCATCTCCCAAGGACACTGTAATATAAATTACAGCACACACTAGTCTAAGTAATTCTAGCATCAGTAGATGTCAGATGGAACAATGCAATTTCGGAGGCTTAAGAGAAAAAGAATAAATGCAGTTTTTATGTAAGAATGTGCTGAATTTTTAGTACATATCAGTGAAATTACTAGAATCTGGTGTTTCACTTTTTTAAATACCACAACAGTTGAACCTTTCAGCAGTCCTCAAATCAATTCCCTTTGGGACAGATACTGCACTTAAACCCTTTTTAATTTAAAAATATAATAAAACAGCTAACTAAATAAGCTGCCCACAAAAATCAATAGTCTAAGCAGCCCTGAATTCTAACATGTTTTACAACATCCTTGAAGATTACAGAAAACAATATGAACGTCTCTTGGCAGCAAAGGAATGTACCCTTCAGTATTTGTTTCTTTTGTTTTCTCCAGGATCTTAATTATTCTGGTGGTAGTTTATTACATCACAGGCAGAAATAGTTGAAATAGAGCCAGGTGATATCTTTTAAAGAGTAAGAAAGTTGCTAAATCAGGATAATCTTGGAATAGTGATGGGATGAATATGTTCCCTGATTCCTGGGGATTCCTAAGGGTGCATCAGTTACTAGAAACAAAGAGCTCTACTTCTATTCCTGCACTCGAGGGAATGCTAAAAAACCCAACAAGTAGTGACTGTCTCTCCAAACTCGGCCACAGAAAGGACAACACTCTAGCACAAGAAGTGTTCTGACAACAGTAACTATTTTAAATAAATAAAGATAATAGCCAATATTTATTAGGCAGATACCCTGCAGTAAGGGTTATAACAAATCACCTCACTAAGGTAATCACCACCATAAGCCTATAGGTAAACACTATAATCATACCTATTGTACAGATTAAAAAAAAAAAAAAAACTCAAGCTGAGAAAGGCTAAATATCTTGTTCTGACAAGTGGCCAGGTCAGAATCTAAACTTGAGGTGGACACCAGTGTGTTCACTATTCCCTGAACCCCCTCCTGCACTTCTTAGTTGATGCTTACTACACCATAGGCTAACACTTGGAAGTTCCAAGACAGGAGGGTGCTATTTGTCCTTGTACAGAATGCAAGAAGAAGTAGGGGGCCTGCCTAAAATACTTGCTGTTGACCTGAACTCTAGTTCATCACTACTGCAAGAAATTTAAATCAATTTAACAAGCATTTCCTGATTTTCAACTTTGCTCAAAGCACCCCAGTTGGGTCTGGGGAGTGATGAAAACATGCTACCTACCCTCAAGGGATTACCTTTTAGTGAGGAGACATGCAGAATTTACTCTCCAGTACATCAAGACTCTAACAAACATAGATGCAGAAAGGACTCTGACGGCACATAAACCAAAACAGATTCACATTGCTGACAATCAAGTGCACAAAATGTGTCTAACTTAAGAGCTGTGGAAACAGTATGCACTCTTAAACATACCTATAGATATCTCCCTTATGCCAGCTACATGTGCAAAGGTTATCACATTCAATCAGAAGAACGCCATGAGGTAGGTGGTGTTACCCTACCCTTTCATTTTTACAGAAGAAGAAACAGTGTAGTGATTGTCAAAGGTCACACAACTCCTGTGGGAGATAAGGTACTGGAATACATACCAGATGTGTAAACACAGGTCCTCCAAGAAATAGAAGATGAGATGAGATTAAATTAGCAAAGGCTTCATCAGAGGGGGGACTGCCTGTGTGAAAGGAAATAGGGGCCGGCGCCACGGCTCAATAGGCTAATCCTCTGCCTAGCGACGCTGGCACACCGGGTTCTAGTCCCGGTTGCCCATCTTCCAGGCCAGCTCTCTGCTGTGGCCCGGGAGTGCAGTGGAGGATGGCCCAAGTGCTTGGGCCCTGCATCCCACGGGAGACCAGGAGAAGCACCTGGCTCCTGCCTTTGGATCAGCGCGGTGCACTGGCCGCAGTGCACCGGCCACGGCGGCCATTGGAGGGTGAACCAACAGCAAAAGGAAGACCTTTCTCTCTCTCTCTCTCTCTCACTGTCTACTCTGCCTGTGGAAAAAAAAAAAAGGAAATAGTTCATGGTCCCTGAGCCCTTTCCTAACAGTCAGATTGCAAGTCTGAGCCAAGTGAAGGAGAGAGGGAGAGAAGGTTGGGCAGAAATGTTCTAGACTGCTAAGGAAAGTTGAGTAAAGCTACCAGGGAGTCTTTGAGCTGAAATTGGCCAATAAAGGAATTCTGGGTCTTCCAGGAATGGGTCTGCTTGGTATCCCCATCATATTCAGTCATTGGCTTGTACTAGTTGGCCAGCCATCTTGGGCCAGTCCACCAAAGCCAAAGGACAGAGTCATACGGGAGGAGGGAAGGCAGAGCAGGGAGTCACTCCTACATGAGACTGGACAGACCAACAGTGTGTAACATCACTTCAAACCTTTCACCCTTTGTTACAGATGCAGACATACATGTAGGGAATACAGACCTCTCCAAATGTGCATTTTGTCCTCTGGTTTTAAGTCACATCCCAAAGTGCTGAGAAGATTGCGTGACATTCACTCTCTTTGGCTCCCAGAGATGAGAGGCTGACCCAATTCTCCTGGAATTTGAACCTATGATTCCCTGAAGTAAAGAGATATCAAAATTGATACTAAGACATCTAAATCATTCTGTACAATTTCACATGTCTGCAGGCCAAACCAGCAAAATAGCTACAGCACATCTTTTTTAAGAGGCTAAGAGCTGCTATCTGGGCCATTTCTCCAATCATCTGCTGCTCTTTTTCCCGCATCTTGCCCTTTTTGGGAGAGAGTCAATGCTAAATTTAGCACTTTATACTATACAATAGGCTGCTAATATTCCGTGCTGAACAGTATTTTCCCAGTAGTTTTATTGGGTGCCAGGCTTTTCCTAGACTTTATATCATACAATGCTTAACTTGTTTGGAGTGGGTGGAGATGGAAACACAGTCTATTGAAAACATCACCGCTTCCTCCCTGAATTTAAAGAGCCTATTATCATCTTTCTTTTAGTTTCAAACTCCTGAGCAAAATCTCAAAAAATCGGTCAAAGAGAAAAGAAGGGGTTATAATATCCAAGAGGGTAGCTTTTGCTAATTGAATGCTGTGCTACTAAACCTCTATAAATGATCATACACAAAGCACTCAGCTCACAAAGGGAGGGCACCTCCACGTTTAGAGACTTCTACCCACAAGGAACTGTCTTACCCTCTAAACCAGCATCTACCACCCATTGGGATTATGGATAACTCATGACATTATCCACTATTGCTACTGGAAATAGATTTGGGCTCTCAAGCACCCAATGTTGTTTTATCCCTTGAGAAAGCATTATAGCAGAGTGGCTAACTGATGAGTTCTGGAGTCAGAAGGAATTGGCACAAATCCCAACAATTGTCACATCTTCACTGTAAAAAATTCTGCAAGTTGTTTACTCTTTCTAAGCTTTAGATCTCTTAAAATTCAAATGGTGAGTACACTAGTATCAGACCCTAAAAGAACAGTGAGGTTTAAATAAAAAATAGATGCAATTGATCATGCATATAGTCCACAGCACATAGTAAGGGTTGAAGCATTGGGAAGTGTTGTTTTTGCAGTCCCAGGTCTATCAGGAAATTCCTATGTGACCTCAAGCACATCACTAAGTCCTATTGAGCCTTAGCTTGTAAATGGGACTGATGTCTGTGGATGGCATCACCTCACAAATCATAAAGACTCAGATTATTCTTCAAGTGGGAACTCACCTGAAATGTTAAGCAAGCTTATTTTTTTTGTTATTAACCTTCAGTGAACTTAATCAAAATGTTGGTAGATAGATTTCCAGAGGAAAGCTTGGACAGGACAAGTATCAGGAAATAATAAAAGAATGCAAATGGCCTCTTCTGGGTCTTTTCCTATCTTCCTGAATATCTGGTTATACGCATGCATACAAAACATGTAATAACGTATGTCACAAATTAAGCCCTTCCCAGACTTATTCCCTAATGAGTTCTTTAATTCTTCCTTCAGAAGGAAACATTTCTTAAATCCCAGTGAACTGGACCAACATTTTTTTGAATACTCTTACCTTCTCTGGTGTCAATAGGAAAGAGTATTTACTCACTACTGTTTTCCTTTCAAAAAACTGTCTAGTTGCATACTAGAAACAGCTTCAGCTGGTTTGTTTGTCTTGGACAGGCTGTTGAAGTGAAAAGTTTTTGCTTGGCTGAATGTGGGACAGTTTCATAACCCTTCAAGAAGTGCATTGAAGGTGGGTGCCAGCTCTGACTCTGACGACGGCTGCTTCTAACGCGCCTCTGCTTGCCACCCATTGTCAAGGGTGGCAGTGTAATTAAGACAATGAGCAAAGCAACAGATGTAACTGAGACCAAGTCCCTGAGTGCTTTTGTTTTGTCACTGCCATTGTCTGTAACAAAGAAGTGACATGTGAGAGCCTGGGAAGAGAGCCAAATGCAAACCAGACAACATCCCAGCTGGTCTTGAATGGCCTCAGCTGTACGTGTGTGTGCATGGGAACCATGCTACTTGGAGCAGTGTCGGCTCCACTCAAGTGAGTTTCAGCCATGGCCCTGCTGTGATGCTGAGACAGACCCAGAAGAAATAGACCAGAGGATAGCTCTGCCAAGACCTTACACTTTATACCTTCTGCTCCAAGAGAAAAGAAATAAGCTCTCTGTTGGGAGACAGCAGATAAAATCTACATGGTCAGCCAATCTGACCTCGGTTCTTTTTGCTACAGCCCTCATGAACTTGAAGATGAAACATAGACAGTAACTGAATGTCTTCTTCTAGAAATTTTAAAGTACTTCAGCTTCAGTGGAAAACTAAAGATTAAACACCTTGTGAGGCTTCCTTTTCATTTGTTGCCATTTCATTCTTGAACATTTTGGGAAGTTTGAGCATTCTAGATTCTTAAAAATCTTTCTTTATCCCAGTATGCCCCTTAAGCAGGGGGAAAAAAAGGTAAAATTCAAGTCCGTGTGTTTCTCTACCTGCCAGTTGATTTGGTCAGCAATTTGGCAGAGAGGTAGTATCCTAATAAAGGTTGTTGTAGAACTTTGCTGAGCCATATCCCATCATCAGTTTCCAAGGAGAATCCAACAATATTTCATGGAGTTTGGAAACAATACTGATCCTACTCTCTGATCCCATATGCCTTTCTTCACTTTTTCTAGAGGAATATTATAAGAAAGCAGAATGAGACGGAGGATTAGGAACACAAGTTTACTGGTGGCTTAGTGGTAAATGCACAGCAATAAATACATATTAACTGCACTTGTTGCATTTGCAAGTTAATTTGTGTGCTATTTCAGGGAGAAGGATTTTCACCAGATGGCATTTCAAAATATTCGATACAGATGCCCACTTTCTTTTGACCAGGACATGTTTGCAGTGGTCACTGAGCTAGGTATTTTAATACATGTTTTTACACAGTGATGCCATCTTCTTTCTAGTAGGTCATTAAAGGATATTGACCATCAATTCACAAAGGGCTAGCTACCTTTCATGAAGGACTTGGAGAGAAGTTTAATGTTCCAGGCAGAGCTGAAAAACATCACCAGATCTCTAAGGGTCTGGGACCATAAGCATTATTTCCAAGAAGTGGTAGTTGATTTTTCCCCATTTAGATTAGTATTAAATCTACTAACTCTGGGTCTTAGATATGAGTAATCAAAGGTCTCTACATATATAATAATTTTATGCCTTGGAGGGGGATGGCCATTACCTTAGCCAGAGGAACAGTTGGGAGATGCCACCCATCATAGTGAGAGCTCTCGTTTTGATCTTAATAAAAACATGTTTTAGGAATAGGGATACTTATTCCATGAACCTCATTATATACAAATAATTGTCCATTATGTCCTCATATAGAAGGCCTTTTGGCTAGAGGTAAACCCACATAAATAAATACCTTAAATGTATTCCTGTAAATGCGATTTTCTCCTCAGTTTTATTTCATATCTCCTTATATTCTAGATACTTTACTATTTAAATGTATACAAAGTGGCCGGCACCGCAGCTCACTAGGCTAATCCTCCACCTGCGGCGCTGGCACTCCAGGTTCTAGTCCAGGTTGGTGCTCCAGTTCTGTCCCGGTTGCTCCTCTTCCAGTCCAGCTCTCTGCTGTGGCCTGGGAAGGCAGTGGAGGATGGCCCAAGTCCCTGGGCCCTGTACCTGCATGGGAGACCAGGAGGAAGCACCTGGCTCCTGGCTTGATCGGCATAGCTCCAGCTGTGGTGGCCATTTGGGGTTGAACCAACGGAAAAGGAAGACCTTTCTCTCTATCTTTCTCTCTCTCACTGTCTAACTCTGCCTGCCAAAAAAAAATGTATACAAAGCTAAAATAATTATAGGAAAAGTATAATAACTTAGTTTTACATGTCATGAGGAGATCTTTCAGTTTCATTCATTCATTTAATTCATTCTAAAGAAATTTATTGAACACCTGAAATAACCCTGGCACTGTTCTAAACATTGAGACTTCAACCTTCAATGGACAGATAGGCATCTGCTCTCACAGGAGCTCTGTTCTGAACAAAACTCAATATTCCAAACAACAGCATTGTTTGTTGATGAGTGAATGGAACATCAGTGCAGGGAACCCAGAATTTTTAGTCCTGGAATGGTTAATGCCCAATAAAGTTGACATAATAAGAAGAGGAGGAAAAATGAGCAAATAACCCTAGCAGCTACTGCTACTACTAACACTGAGTATGCAGTGCTTACCATGTGCCAAGCCTATTGATGTGCTCTCTTATATATTAGCCCTTTCATGTTTTTTAAAACTATTTATTTATTTATTTGAAAGAGTTACACACAGAGAAAAAGAGAGGCAGAGAGAGAAAGAGAAAGAGAGTTCTTCCATCCGCTGGTTCACTCCCCAGTTGGCCGCAATGGCTGGAGCTGTGTTGATCTGAAACCAGGAGCCAGGAGCTTCCTCCAGGTCTCCCACTTGGGTGCAGAGGCCCAAGGACTTGGGCCATCTTCCACTGCTTTCCCAGGCCATGGCAGAGAGCTTGATCAGAACTGGAGCAGCCAGGTCTTGAACCATTGCCCATATGGGATGCCAGCACTGCATGCAGCGGCTTATACTACTATGCCACAGCACCAGCCCCTAACCCTTTCATTTTTAATCCTATAAGGTAGATACTATTATTATTCCATTTATGCATGAAGAAACTAAGATACAAGAGATCATCACCTGCACAAATGTATATAGCTAGAAAATGGATGAGTGAGGATTGACCTCAGCTCAGGATGTCTGTGATTTTACAGACTCTAAATCAATGACTAAACTTCCTGATCTTCTACTTCTAAAACTCTGCCTCTTTCCGGGGGAAGCAAAGATGAAAAATTAAAAAAAAAAAATCAAAACAGAACAATCTAAGATAAAACAGCAGAGGCTGATCCCAGAATCTGATTCATTCTTTTTCTTACTAGGAAAAGATGCTACAGGCCAGAAGGCTGGATGTTGTAATGTCCCCTTCCTATCAATTAAGCTGTGGCAGAGGCAGATGGGAAGAAGTGCATCTTTGTGTGATTATAAAGCAATCTGTGGTATCCACGCCAGGGGTACATGCAAGTAGCCTGAGTGAGGTTCTGCCAAGTATTAACTAAAGCCCTATCCACCTGTATATATCTTTCTCAGAAAAACCAAAGCCCAGGGATCTCTTTTAGGTTGACTGGTGAATCATAAGATATGAAAGGTTGAGCCCTAATGTTAGAAATGGATGGATTTAGTTACATAGAAGGAATAGCACTATTTTGTAGCACAATAGGATGGTTACAGTTTATAACATTTTATAATACATTCTATAAAGATCAAGAAGAGAGGGATTCAAAGGTTCCCAATACACACACACACACACACACACATGCAGTATTTGAGGGGGGACTCGCTAATTACCCTGACTTGATCATGGCATATTGTATGCATGTGTTGACTAATCACACTGTACCCCATGAGTGCACTCAATTACTATGGATCACTTAAAAATAAAACTACATTTTAATAATTAAAAAATAAAGCTTTTTAAAGAAACAGATCGGTATATAAAACCTCATTGATTTCATGTCACTCTTTCTCCTTTATCTACAGGAAGTACATTTGAAGAACACAAGTAGAGGGAGTGCAGGAAACAAGAACTACAGGATGTAGGAAGACCCTTCTGAGGAGTGAAGAAGGACAGGCCACCGCAGGACCCTTTGCTCTGCGCGAGTTACCTGTGAAACATTGGAATACCGGCCAAAAAATAAGTTTGATGACATTTCAAAGATGGGCATTTCCCCCAATGAAATACACAAGTAAACATTCCAATATTGTCTATAGGCGTGATTGTTCAAAGCTTTGCACCTTGCAAAAATGGTCCTGGAGTTGGTAGATTGCTGTTGATCCTTTATCAATAATGTTCTATAGAGAATACATATATATCTTAGTCCCTGCCTCTCAAGAGCCACAAATGCATGGGTGTCGTAGAGATCCAGTTGCACTAAATTTCTCTCTGAATCTTGGCTGCTGGAGCCATTCATTCAGCAACCTTGTCTAAGTGGTTTATGAATTGTTTTCTTATTTGCACTTCTCTCTATACAACACAGGCTGTGTGTTTATGGTGTTTAATAGTCGTCTTCATCTATCTCCACCACCCCTTTCATAATGTTTTTATTTGCCAAATTTGGCCTCCTCAAAAGCAGCAGCAAAGTAGCACACCGATTCTTAACCTGCAAGATTCAACCTGTGGCATTTGTACCAAATATAAGTTGGATGCATTTATTTTAGGCACAAAGCTTTATTTTTCCACATCATGCTAAAAGCTTCAAGCAGATCATTGTGACTTTGAGGCCAATCATTTTTAGGCTTATGTTTTAAACATAGAAAGTCTCGTAAACTCTCAATGGTTCCCTCAAATGATGAGTTAGAGTGCAACCTGATTAGTCACTTCTTTTTATTTTTTTCCATATAGAGCACTATGTAAATTTAGTATATCAATAATACAGGATATATCAAACAGTATGTAAAACTCTGTTTTTTAGTACAATGGTGCTATTTTGTAGTTTGTTATATGAAAGAGTCTGGCCAAAACGGTAAAAGGTGAAAGCAAAACAAAAGGGAAAACCTGGAGCCAAAGATAACACAAGGAGGAAGGGAAGGAAAAGTCCATCCATTTGGGAAAGAAGGCAAAAGGGTTCCCCCCACCCCCAATTATGCTTTTCAAAAATCCACTGATGCAAATTTGCTTGGCGAGACCAGAGAGGAAGCCGTGGAATGGAAAAAGCAGAAGGCCAGGAGTTTTAACAGACCTGGTTTCTTTATCTAACCGAAGAAACAAACATCTGTCAGCTCTGCCACGGACTCACCACTGTGTGACCTTGGGCAAGTCACTTCACCTCTCTGTGCCTCAGTTTCCTCATCTGCAAAATGGGGGCAATACGTCATCTACCTACCTCAAAGGGGTGGTATGAGGATGCAAAAGCTGAAGCTTCAGACTTTTACCTGGTGTTGCTTTGAGGGGATAAAATCAGAGCCCTTGCTTGAGTTTCTAGGATGCAGGAATTCTTTAAACCCATTCACAGCCTACCTAGAGACTAATTAACCAAACATTTCTGACAGCCCAATTCTTGTCAGTGAAACCACCCCACTGCTAGTTGTTGACAGCTCACAGTTCACTCTCTTTTAAAATGCTTTTAAAAATAAGTTAGAACCATTTGATTTTGAATTCTACATTCGGATTTGTGAATATACAAATACATGAAGATGAGAATGGAAGAGAAAAATGGGAGAAACCAACAGGATTCCTACCAGTGAAGTGGTTCTTGGTTACTCCAACTGTTAGCACTCATGGAATCTTCCAGACAGTTGCTATCTATCTAGTAATACCTCTTTTAGTGTTGTAAGTGACATTCTATTCATTCTAAAAATCAGTTTTTCCTTCTTTTTAGGCAAGCAAAGAAAATGGTCCAAGATTTAAAATATTGAAAGCTACTTTCTTACATGAACTTTACTCTTTGGTTGTATCCACATAACTTTAACAAAAAATTTTGTTGTCGTTGAAATGTGCTGACCAGAGTTACTAACTGAGAAGCAAAATTTCCTTCTCCTCTCCTATTGGTTTAGAAAGGTAGTCCCTAGCTCTGCGTGGATATGTCTTATGCACTGATAATGGGTGTCAAGAAAATCCAAAGGGTGAGGATGGCCCAGGACGGCCTAAAAATGTTATCCATGTACGGATCAAGATTTTGTTAGAACAGAATTACCTAGCATTCAGATCTTTTTACTGGTCTTAGAATTTCTTGGTGAAAAGCATCCAGGTATGATTATTTCATGCAAATTTTAGCATCTATGTTCTTGGAAAGTATATATGAAAAACAAACAAATAACACCTTTGGTTTTCTACTCTGTGGTTCAGAGACCAGGAAAAAAGAAATGATTTTCAGGATCTCTACTGAATGACAAAAAAGAGGCCCTCGTTTGTGCACCAGTCTTGTTCAGTCAAGCAGCACTGAAATCTCAGTCCACTGAGTTATTTGAATCGAGCACCCTGGGCCTGCTGACCAGTGTGTTCATCATCATGGACTAATGCCAAAGAAACTACATCATTTTCACCCTCTGCTTGTTTGGCAGATACATGTATCCAATGGAATAAGATGCTGTCCCACTTTCCCCATAAAGACACTTTTGGTTTTTATTTCTTGTTCCCAGTATATACCTTCTAAAACAATTTATTCCCAACCAAACTTTGCAGTCAGTCTTCTGCAGATTTATGAGTTCCCTGACAATTCTACAAGTGTCTATGATATATTGTACTCAATTAACTGTCAAAAACTCCCCCAAATGAGGAAAGCTCAAATAGGTGATGCTATGGGATCCTTCTTAACTTTTTCCCAACACATAATCCTCTCCAACTGGATCACAAATCAAATAATTAAAAATTCAGTAATTATACCAGCCCATAATTATTTCCATGTAAATTAATAGTAGAGGAAAAATTGATATGAACTCTGAAAGTCAACTGACCACTATATAATGAAGCAAAGTGACCTGGGATTGACAGAAGTGAGCATTTAAAATTTCTCAACCCAAAACTAAGTAAGTTCTGCTTTAGAATTATGTTGGTTTAAATTTTAGAATGGGAAAATTGCAAGGCGGTTATAAAAAGACTCTAAATATTGCGAAGGATGAGCTTTCCATTTAAAGCTTAGTTTCAATGTAATTACAACTACTCAATACTTAGGTCAAATTTCTGTTCCCACTTTCACAAGTAGTATAAAGTATTGTTTGAATATTAAGATGAGGCACCTCCTCTGAAAAGGTTAATGCTTCTCTTCACTAGAAAGTACTCTTCTAGGGGTAAAGAAAAACTCTCAATACCTACCCTACACACACACACACACACACACACACACACACACATTCTAAGAAGAAATCACTTCCTTGAAAATCTTATTAAAAACAAAAGAGCCTGGCCTCCCTTGAGAATCCATCCCCTCCTTGGAATGTCAATGTTTGTGTAGATGAAACCATCCCATGCATGTGGTTCCAGGGTTTCTGTTACTAGTTTATGCACTTGGGAAACTGCTTAGAATGGAAGATGTAGCACATTTTGCTTTCCCATTTATTGTTTGGCCAGCTATGCCAATGTGGTGCTATTGTTTCTTTAAGAAAGTACTTGACTAAAAAAAAAAGAAAAAAAGAAAAAAAAGAAAGCATAGACATATTTTTTTAAAGTATGAAAACAACAATTCTATAGATAGAGGGCTTAATAAAATAGCATTAGGTCTAGCCACCACCACCTTTCAACGTTTTATCACTCACAAGTAGTGTACTGTTCACCAAATTGTGAGTTTGGGGGTAGAGGGGCAGAAGATGGAAATTTGTAAAAGTTAGAAGGCTCCATTATTTTGTTGCCTCTCCAACTCAGCAAAGTAGCAATATATGATCCAATTGGAACACATTGATCAAGAGCATGGAGTATAAATGGGGGAAAAAAAAACTTCTAGTCAAATGGCAGAACTAAACAGATGATTAAGTTGTTATTGATTGTGTATGTGTGTATGTGTGTGTGCGCGCGCTCTCTGCTTTAAAACAGATATTCAGCAAGTGAAGAAAATTAAAACAAAGAGAAGAACATACAAAGATTCATCTACTAGAAGCAGCTTCTGCCACATCCTACTTGGGTACTCTTTAGTGTTCACTGGTTTGTAGAACATGTTCTCCCTTCACCCAAACATCTCAAAGAGCAGTAGCTCTCCTATAAAGCAATCACTGATCTCATTGGGAAATCTTGGAAAGTATTTCCTTATGAGGTGGGAGTTATCTACTGAAAAAGAGAGAGAATTTATGAGAAATTGTTGAAAGAGATGGCTAACAATCTGTGAAGATTTTTTGTTTTCTGTTTTTGGTTTCTTTTTTTACCTTATACAGTCTTTATGAAATCTTAATGTTCAAAATGACTTGGTCCTTTTCTTCTATGTTCATATTGGAAGGAGGTATAGTAAGTTAAACCCATTTAGATTCTTTAACCTATAGGCTAGATAGAAATATATGTTTGACTTGTTGAATCAGACTATTTAAAATGTTTTGCTATTTTTAATCATAAAAGATTGCACTAATTTATTATAGCAGAATCTGTTTGGCTCTCCTTATAAGAAAGACTATTCCCACTGAAATCACTTGGGCTTTCCCATTAATGTTTTCAAAAGATGAATCTGACCTATGCTATGGCATCATTTATTTTAAAACAGAATCGTGAGCCTTTGTGCCCCTCCCTGCAATGAACATGAAATCTCAGATTTGAGGGGGAAAACCAAAAGGAAATTTTCATTGATTCTTTGTTATTGTTTTTGTTTTCAATGCTAGTATTTAATCCTATAGTACATATTTGCTTATTGCTATTTTAATATTCTATAAGACTTTCCTGTTAGATATTAGAAACTGATACATAGATATCATTTTTGTGTGATTTCTATTTTAAAAAAAAAAAAAGGAGACAAAAAGACTGACTGAAGCTTTAACTATGTATGGTACAAGATAAAGATATCAACTTAAATAATCAAGTCCTGACTGGAACAATCC